CTTTGTTTCGTACGTAACTAAAGTACTACGTACGTAATGTTTCATACGAGCTATTATCCCGTATTCACAAATATCTTTATTTTCTTTTTCTTTTTCTTTCTTTTTTTTTCTTTTTCCTTCGTTTTTGGATTCAAATCACTTTTTTGTGCTTGGACATTTAAGAAGCAGAAAAATATCGAAACATGATATTGGAAACTCGACCGTAACCGTTAGAGCACGCATCGGTAATATTTTCAACGTGATTTGCATTGCTAAACCATTGACACGATACAGACCTTTTTGGTCTCATCATCCTGTTTGTTTATCGACATACTATGTAAACAATCAAATATGCGGTCGACTTCATTCTCGTATTTTCGATTGGTTTCTTCCTCTTTCTAACATTTACATGTTTCGATGCGTATCGAAATAGAATAAATTACTACGTTGGTACTATGTAATCGTATGTCGACGATAACGACGTACTGTTATTATTATTATTAATAATAATAATGATGATGATGATAACGATCTCGATACTTTTATATTTTCTCTTTTTATTTACGAAATGTTACGTTTGATTCTGAACGACAATGTTATTAAAGTTTATTCCAGGGCAGATCGTATTAAACAAAAAAAAAAAAAGAATCATTGAGAAAAGTTAGCTATTGTTGGCGAATAACATGAATATTAAAAAAATATATAAGAGATGGTAACAATTAGCGTTACGCGTGTGTTTACGAAGTATCAAAGTATGTACATATGTTATATGTTAACTGGCATATGCGTCTTTGCATTAAATAGTATCTCGGAAAGAGAAAAGAAAGATCAATTAAAATATTTACATTTCTCGTAAGAAAGACTTGTTGGAATTTTCGATGGCGATAACAATTTAAAAGATATTTCGATTCAATATCTGTCTGATTAAGAGTGTACGTACATATGTTTTTAATGAAAGAAAGTCGTAATATGTTTTTAATGAAAATTAAATAAAAAGTAAAAGGAACGCAGATACAGATAGAGAGAGAGAGAGAGAGAGAGAGAGAGAGAGAGAGAGAGAGAGAGGAAACGATCGAATGTTCGAAATTAAAGAAAAGTTACATAAAACTTGACATCTAATCCTATTAAGAATAGTAAATTCTTGGTACCTGATGAAAAGGCAAGGCAACACCGAAAAACTCAAAGGATGATGCACTCCGCTTAATAATTCTCGCAAGTTGAAGGTCATGACGTAATAGAGAAACTCCATTGAGGGGTTTCGAATCCAGTAACCACGTATAATCACGTAAGCTACTTTAACCGGAAGGAGACGTATACGAAGTGTGATTCGTCGACCTTCTCTTACTTCCCTCTATCGTCTTCGTAAACTTTTAATTTTACTAATTCCTTTATCGTCAAGAACCAGGTTACATCAGAACGATTCCGCGGTTTGTTTTTATTATCTTTTGCCAACGTGGAACTCTTATAAGCGTATTATGTATCGTGATACGTATATACATTGTAACACACGTTAAATCGCGCAATCGTTCGCGTGTACCATTTAATATTAATGATATTTAATAGGTTTCGCATTAATTAAGAGCTTTACATATATATATATATATATATATATATATATATATATACACACGTATGTATGTATACAGGTATATTTCATTTGATTCGATTCGATAAGATTCTTGAAAGATATAATAATTTTGTCATTACGATAATTAATCGTTATTGAAACATAATTTAGAACGATTTTCTTTCGATTCATTGACCGGCGACTCGTCGTTATCGATCCAAGTCCTTGTTTATCCAAGTTTATCAAAAACGGCGCGTGCGAAGGATAAACCAGAAATCGGAAAAATATTTACGATCGATTTTTCGTATGTGTATGTGTGCTTGTTCGTATGTACTATATATATAATACATATGTACAAGCAACGAAGCATATAAATGAGGAAGCGTTCAAACGTACTCACGATATACTTATCTACATATTACACCCACTAAACCTGCTGACTCGTCAACGATGAGCGCATCATTAAGTGACTACTCTTCCGAGGATGTAAATGTATCTACTTATGTACACATACACACACACACACACACCCACATATGCGCGCGTGCGCATATTTATATATCGAGTAGATTTCACCGAAAAGGTTATTGGCCCGATGACGAATGGCAAGTTTATATGATTGGACTACTACGCTCGTCTCGTAAAATATATTAAAAAAAGGATAAAAACACGTTGCGATATTTATGTAAATCTTACGATAATTCTAAGTCTTCTCTCTTTATCTCCCTCTCTCTCTCCCTTTCTCTCTCTCTCTGCCTATTTCTATTTCTCTCTTTGCAGGATAAAAGCTATCTTTCTTACACCGGATAAAAAAAAAAGCATATCGAAATATCACGGTGGGAACGATCTCGGCAAAAGGAAATAAATCAGTCGACTTACATAACTATGTATTTCTTGGAACGATATTCGGCAAAAGAAGGTAAAAAGGAAACAGCAAAAGAGAGAGAGAGAGAGAGAGAGAGAGAGAGAGAGAGAGAGAGAGAGAGAGAGAGAGAGAGAGAGAGAAGAAAACTTGTTTACATCGGGGCCGGCAACACGTGACTTCTCATTCGATGCGTTGATTGGTTGCGTAGGAGGGGGAAGGAAGAGGGATAGATAGACATAGAGAGAGAGACAGAGAGAGAGAAGAGAGAGAGAGAGAGAGAGAGAGAGGGATAAAAAGAGAAGGAGTAGGAGACACGCAAGAAGCCGACGTCGTGTTTGATCATAACGTTCGTATTCTTTCTCACAATTCACACAGACTGAAATTCATTAAAAAAAAGGCACAGCGTCTGTCGATTTGCTTCGACCTTCAAGATAATTACATAGGGTGGCTACGAGGGAGAAATTATAATAATGACATTAGTTATTAAGAAGAGGGTCTTAAGAAACGAGCGTGACCATTTTTTTTCTTCTTCTCTTTGTTATATATCTCTTATTTATTCAAACAATAAATACGTTGTGTTGTATATAATATAAAGATATTTATCCATATAGGGTTTACGTTAAGAAGATAAGAGTTAAAGTTACCGACCTTGTACCTTAATTCGCTGTAAGTTAATTCTGACGTTAAATGGAATATCACGTTTGCGAAATTCAAAATAGACTTTCTTGCATATACCGACAAGAATTTTCAGGACCTTAGACAACTAACGTGTATTTCTTATTATATTCGTTAAGACGATTAAATTATTGTCGCTACTTCGCGTACATATCGCACGTAAACCGTCGTATCTAACCAATCGTAAGTGAGCGCGGGAAAGGAATAAGTAAGCGTAACTTGTTCAAATCAAGAAAGAGATTTATAGAGGGATAAGAAAGAGAATGAGATACGTCTTTCGACGAAAATAAATATTCTATAGTCCCATATTATCCTATTCATATTATTCTACGAATAATAATAATAATAATAATAATAATAATAATAATAATAATAATAATAATAATAATAATAATAATAATAATAATAATAATAATAATAATAATAATAATGATAATGATACGCGTCTTCAATCTCTCCCAGAGAGATCTCTCTTCCGTGTTATACTTAAAACATTCTCGACCTCGTCGTTTGGCTCCGATGCTCGTTTTGTTATCCGGGGGTTTCTTCAAATATAACTTGCGTCTACGCATATATGCACGTTTCTTCGTTCAGGAAATGTCCGTGAAAAGAAAAAAGGAAAGAGAAAGAAAAAAGAAAAAACAGGAGAAAAAAGAAAGAAGAGGAAAAAGAAACAGAACAAGAGGTAGTAGTAGAAGTAAAAGACGAAGAAAAAGAAAGCAAGCAACCATACTTCGTAGAGGATCGAAAGCATTTTGGAAGGTGGCGTACGTGCAAGTTGAGCTTCGAGTGTGATACAGCCCTGACCCACTTTCGTGTCTTCGACCGGCTCAAGTACTTACTCCGTTCGCTTCGAATCTTCGATTCTTCCCGGGACTCTTTCGTTCTACGCACGTGGATGCGCGTAGTATTCGAACAGTGAAAGCGTATGGATAAACCGATAAAGTTTAATCCTTACGAGTTTCATCCTCTATATCGAATGACCTTCCGTAAAGAAATACTTTTTCCTCAAAAATCAATGGAACAAGACGATAAACGTAACGGAGAGCTGACACGTGTCTGTTTGTAATATCGAACGCGTGTAAAGTTTTACGATTAATCCCCGACCTTCTGTTATTTCTCCAATTACCTTTGTCTATATTTAAAAGCAAGAGGAATTAATCTCGCTCGTATATTCACGCTAGAACGTTATTAATTTTTTACAAACTCCGATACGGTTATACTCTGAAGTTCCATATTATAAATGAATTATATATATATATATATATATATATATATATATATATATATATATATATGTATATGTATATATAGTTATATAAAGTGAGTAATAGAAGAAGAGTAGTTAAGAAGGGAAAGATAAATCAAATGTAACAATTTTTCACCGAGAATTTATTCCTTTCTGTCAGTGTTTCCAGGTTTTGATAAATCGCTTGTAACTTCTATAGTAATAATCATACCGGTGAATTGTATATACCCTATGAAAATGTAATTAAATACGAATAACATGAGAAGACGAATAGAGAATGATAATCGTTCCTTTTAATAGTACGATGATTGAACGATAGATGATTTTGAAGTGAGCGCGCGAATCCGTTCTCCAGGAGTATGCAGCCAACAAAAAAGCAAATGTTTTACCTTCCGAGATTCCGCCATGCTACCGCCAAACAAATCACACTACTCGTCTCGTCGTACGCTTTCCGAACGACGCTCGAATTGACACACTTCTCTGACTTTATATGTGCCACTCAGTCGCGTACACCATAAAAATAACGTAATCCATCGATTACTTAAATACTCCGTCTGAAATCTTTTATTTTTCGATGAGCTACGCAGTTAGACGCGTCCGGCATTTTTCGTCATACCGGCGAAATGCGTCGCGTGGCGGGAAGCGCGATGTTCTATCGACTTTCGATATATCGTTTACAATCGCGCGCGCATTCTCTCCTTCTCTCTTTCACCGTTTCCATCTCTATCTCTATAACCAAAATATATCCATAACCTTGCTTTTCGAACGCCTCGAAGTCGTGCTTTATAATTAATAATTTCGTTAAAGTTGAAGTTAACCTAATCGTTTAATCATCTCTTTTATCTGTAAAAATCTTAATTAAAAAGTTGAGTCATAAATGTTCATCGAATAGAATCGTTCAATGAAGAGATAACGTAATGCTTAAGGATTGCTACTCGTAATAGGTTATGTATTGTTCTGAGCTTCCTAAAAAGGATAAGAGTACAGTTTAATCGTTATATTTATCTTGTAATTATTTAATATTACAATAACAATAAAAATTTTTGTTGATAATTATTTCCTGTTAATATGACGTCATAAATCATAAGGGAAATATTTGTACGTAATATTCAAAAAATGTTGTCGATTAAAGTACCTCTATATATAAAATTACGGACAAATTTTAACAAGAACAATGATATTTATGATTTTTTGCGATTATGCTCTATGAAATATTCTTTCATGCAAAAATCACAATATTCAACAAAGAAATATGTCGATGAAAATATTGTGTACAAAATTGATCCAAAAGTTATAGCCCTAAGAGATAAAATATTGTATAGCGAATATTTGTCTTACGAGAAGATTAAATTGGGATATCTAAAGCGTTTAAAATTAAGAAACAAACTGGAAAAGATACAAGAGGAAAAGCGAGTAATACAACAAGTAAATGAGCCTGTATTTAGTGTTATGTTGAATCGTATTAATAATAATATTTGTACAGACTTCAAAACTAAAAATGAAATAGAAACACTTTCCGATCCAGATGATAGAGAATCACGTAAGATTATACATATGCCTTATGCATTTACTGATAGTTTTAAAATTGTGGATACACCTGCTGACATAGTCAAGAATATTCCTAAAGACACGGATGATAAATTATCGCTTAATGAAATATATAAGAACTTGTATGAAAAATATTTAGAAGCTACAAATTCAATACAGGGTAAAGAGAAACCAAGTTTTGTAGAGTACGAAGAAATTTATCTTGAAAAGAAATTTAAAAACTTGCAGAATGTTGCGCATAAGTGGATGGATGATTATGAACAGTATGATGATATGCAAGAAAATTCAAGTGATTGGCTTTATGGTTCACCTAATGAAAACACTCAAATTAGTAGTATCCCATGTGGCGGTTGCGGAGCTTTACTACATTGTAAAGATCATACGCTTCCTGGTTATTTACCTTCTGAATTATTCGTAGGTATAACCGATGAGGAACTAAAAAATATGATTTGTCAAAGATGTCACTTTTTGAAACATTATAATACAGCTTTAAAAGTGAAAGTATCTTCGGAAGATTACCCTGAACTGTTAAAAGTTATAAAAACAAAAAAATGTGCGGTTATCTTAATAATAGACTTAACAGATTTTCCATGTAGTATATGGCCGAATATTGGTAGTATCTTGCATCGACATACACCAGTATTTGTAGTTGGAAATAAAATTGATTTGTTGCCTAAGGATTCACCGACATTCGAAAGTCATGTTAAAATGTGTATATCAAAGGCTATAGAAAATGCAGGAATAGGGCAAAACAATATTAAGCATATATCCTTGATTTCTGCTAAGACTGGATATGGAATAGAAAATTTTATAAATAAATTACATAAATTATGGAGATATAAAGGTATATAAAAATTGACGTTATGTAAATTTAAAAAGATATACTTGCTCTTTATTATTAGCTTGTCTCTTAATATTGCAGGAGATGTATTTTTAATTGGATGCACAAATGTAGGTAAATCTTCATTATTTAACGATCTCTTACATTCTGATTATTGTAAAGTGCAAGCTGTTGATCTTGTACAACGTGCAACGATATCTCCATGGCCAGGAACAACTTTGAATTTGTTAAAATTTCCTATTTTGAATTTTTCTAAGTGGAGACTTTATCAGAGAACATTAAGGCTAAAAGCTGAGAAAGAAAATCAGCATGCAAAACAATACATACAAAATTATCAATTTAAATTATCGCATAATATAAAATATGCTATATTACAAGGTATATTATAGATGTTTTATATCGTTCATTTAGAATTTATTGTATCTTGTAATATTATTAATATTATCTAGGAGTTGTTGGTAAAACATTCACATCATGTAACATCAATAATTCAAAGAATATTGGTATCATTTCTTTAAGCTCTAAATTTAATAAAGATAAGTTTGGATTGGATGAAACTCGTCCTGAATACAAATGTAGTCGTTGGTGTTATGATACACCTGGAACTATTCAACCGGATCAAATAATGGATTTATTAACAATTGAGGAAATAATAGAAACATTGCCAAACAAAATTATTTCACCTAGAACATTTCTTGTACAACCAGAAGAAACAATATTTATAGGAGGTTTGGGAAGATTGGATTATTTAGAAGGAAACGTGTATATTAGGTATTTCTTTATATACCAGGTTTAAATTGCACCTATATATTATTTCTATAATTACAAATTTTTACAGATGTACAATTTTTGCAAGCAGCAAATTACCTATCACAATGTGCCGTGTCAGTGATGCAGATTATTTATATAAAGAATTATTACACACACAAGCTTTTGTTGTGCCTATAAATAATCCACAAAGATTGAAAGTATGGCCACCCTTACAATCAAAACAATTTGAAATAACAGGTATCAATGAAACAGAATCTGCAGCAGATATTGTCTTATCAAATGCAGGTAATATTAATTTAATGAGATAAGATATTACAAATCATTTAAAAATCATATAAAATATTAAAATATATTTCTATAGGTTGGATAGCAGTCACTCCTAAAGAAAATGAAAAAGTTAAGTTACAAGGCTGGACTCCATGTGCACGAGGTATACATTTAAGAACGCCAGCTCTCTTGAAAAAATCTGTTACTCTTCGTGGTGCAAGGGTAGCACGTACGCCAGCTTATAAAAAAGGAAGACAAGTTTATTTAAAAGAATCAATTTGAAATTAATATTCTTTGAAACTTACTCTGTAAATATGTATATAAAGTATAGTACATTGAAGAATGTAATATGAAAAAGTAATACTGTAATATAATACCACAATACGTAATATTGTGGTCTGAGTTATAAAACTCTTCTTGTACTGATACTTATTTTTTAAGAAAAACAATTATTCTAACAACACAGGTTCAATTTTAATTACAACATCACAATATAAAATCCATGACAGATTCATGTCAATTCATTATGCATTAATTCCTTCAGCATGCTTTCTTGCCTGTTCATACATTCTCTTATAAAATTTTTCCATGTTTTTGTAAAAATCTTTCAATTGATTTTGCCCACATTTATAATAAGTTTCATTTATGTTATCTACCGTTTTTACTTTCGATTCTAACCTGTAAAATAAATTATATGATATTTCTTTCAAACAAACATTTATTAGTAATAATTATCTTACATAGATACTGTTGATTCTTTTTGTCCTGTATGTATATTGTTTGGAGATTGAATAATATTGTGATTTTTATCATTAGAAAACTGACAAGTACATTTAGAGAAATGATGGTCTTTTAACAAATCTTTTTTACAATAAATATTGTAACTTTGTGCAGTATTAGTTGGATTATTTTGATTGGAAAAATAATATTTATATTTTAAACAAACGGGACATTTGTCATAAATATGTGAATCATTATGTGAAGCTAAGGGTCTAGATTTTTGTTCTGAATAACACGGTTCACAATTACAAATAGATTTTTTTCCTGCGCAACAATATTGACCATTAGGACATTGCACTCTTTTAATAGGATATACATATGAATTTAATTTATTATTTGATTTTTGTTGAGATCTGTAAAAATAGTATAAAATAATTGATTAATATAACCATATTTGTTTTATATTTCTATTTTTTATGTGTTATACATACAATTGATAATTTTTATCTGCAATTATTCCTTGACTATGACAAACTCTCTTTTGTCTGATAATACCCTTGACTGGTCGTTTTCTGTTGATCCATGATGCATTCTGCAAAGTATTTTTTTTTTATTTTTTTGTTTTTGTTTTGTTTTTATAGGAATTATGATTAATATAATTTAAAATTAATAAACAGCCTAGTACCTTTGAGTTTATTGTTTTTGGATTGATGATATGTATCCCTGACATATTAATATCATCTATGTTCATAATTCCTTCTATAATAGTTTTTGTGGACACTTCAATTTTAGGTGCTATTATACCCTGTACGTATATATATTTTATTTTATTGGTAAAGTAAGAATGAATATATATAAAAAGATTTGTTATTCTTACAGGAAAATATTTAGTAGGTTCCATAAGTAAATCTATATCTACACGAGCTAATAGCCCTTTGAAACATGATGTAGGGTATAATAAATCAACTAAATTTGTTTCAAATGTAGCTAAAATGACTCCTCTACCAGAAGGTGTAACCCATTGTACTAATTCTGCAAAAAAAAATACTTGTTCCAGACTATGTTGTAATTCTGTTAAAGTAACTACATGAGAAAACATTTTTTCAAATGTAAATTTTTCATGAAGTAGTAATGGAAAAACTGGTGCAATTCTATGAGACTCTCTATTAGAATTAAGAGTATTAATTTTTAAAGTTATTTTTCCATTTGGACATAACCAGACACCGGGACAAGATACCTATAAAAAAAACACTAATTTTATAATCCATTTTGTTTTAAAAAAGAGTAAGGCTTTTTTTTGAAAAATTGGTGACAGTAATTATATACATACAGCATGAAGATTAAGCTGTATTTTAACAAAAAAACCTCTTCCTGTCATGTTCATTGAAAACTACTTCACTAGCACAAGTAATTTCATTGTATTGAGCAGGAAGAGTTTTAGTTTTTACTTTTCTATTACTATTAGTATTATCACCACGCTTAATTAATTTTTTAAATTATTTAATAAATTATATTAACAAAATATTCTCTTAGACATTTTTATTAAGTAAGGCACTTATCAATTCTTTAGAAATTGCCATTTGTCAGATGAACACTGGTATATGCTAGTATACATGTTGCCAGGAAACAGTAACACAACATTAGTATTGAATTTGACGCAATTGTAAAATTTATATCAAGATAAGATTTATATGAAATGTGAATTAATCACATTTACAAAAATATGAATTAGCAACTTTCTTATAAACAAAGACAAAATTTTATTTTTAAGTTTTGTGGAGGTATATATATATATATATATATATATATATATATATATATATATATATTTGTATGCATATAAAAGTATCATGTCTTGAATGGGACACCAGTAAATCTTTCTACTGGTAGACCTTTCTGAAGATGTCGTTGATATAATTCTTTCTTAATAAAATCACATCCTTTTTTAGCAAAATGTAATCTTGGATCATCTGATCTTGGTATCAATGGTTTTATAAACCATCCATATCTACAATTATTTCAAACAATTTAAAAATTTTTATTTATAATATGTAATCTTTTATAATTAATGTTAATAATTTACTCCATATTAACTGAAGGAGGCCTAAATTTATAAATATCTTTTGGTTTCAAAGCTGTACGCCTCTCTATAAATTTAATATATTCCTCTGGAATGTCAAATAAAGAAACAGCATCGTGACGTGCATAAAATTTTCCAGTCAAAGATTTTATTTGATCAGTAAGAACAAATTTTTCTTGTAGTTTCAATGTACGACTTTCTTTTTCATATCGCTCAACATAAAAACGCAATTTAATAGGATCCATAGATAGGATCTTTTTGTAAGAATAGATATGATTAGCTTAACAGGTTCGATCATTAATCAATCATTGATGAAGTTGTTCAAATGTGGAGAAGAAAAAAATAGTCATTCAATTATTAATATTTATTTAAAATGTGTATATCAATAGAAAACACATACATAACAAGCGGAAGACTATGGTTGATCAGTCAGAGGCTTCTATACAAACATCAACTTTCTTTCACACCTTGATTGATCTAACCAGCAATCGTCTTTTCAAATATAAGGCAACATTGCTACAAGGAATCAAAATCCTATTTAGTTTCTCATACTTTCAAACAGTATTTTTACATATATCATTATCTTTTTTTTTTAACAAAAGTTATTACTTTATGAATAACAACAACAGAGTTTTTGTATAAATTATAAGATTGTTCTGTCTAATAGAACTAAATAAATGTGTTTCATTAGGTATTTTTATCCCGATATAATTGCAACAACTTAATATAACTTGTTATATTTTTTTGTTCGAATTTACGATCCATGACTGCCAATATCACTTTTATAGTTCTATAAATATTTAAGTCCAAATAATATTATATGTATATTATTAAATTTGATACAGTTGACGTTACAAAAAAAGAAAAAACAAACTAACTCTTGAATGTGAATGTTATATACAATGCCGCACTTACATAACTTACAATATCCTTCATAAAACAATGTCACTATATTTGGGAAACACAATGCTATATGTATGCTATACAGTACAATTGTATTGATAAACTATATGCTGGAATTTTCATAGTAAGAACGCAGTTGTATGCTATGCTAATTCTATTTGCATTTTGACATTATGTTATCAATCACATAATTGATTTTTTTTTTGCAGAAAAGAAGGAGAAATTGATCATTCTATAAAGATACTTTGTTAGTGTGCCTTAACACTTTTTTGATAAATATAAGCATTAAATATATAGATTGTATACATATAGCTTTTTGTTTAAAGCTATTATAAAAAAAAAAAAAAAAGAAAAAAAAAAAGAAAAAAAAAGGTAAAACACAAATATTGACACAACTACCAAGAAATATAAGAACTAAATGATTAATATAACATTCATGTCATTCATGATAAATTTATGTAACTACATAATCGTATTTGCAATAAAAGAGAGAATAGATAACATTTGAAAATATTTTAATTAAACACGCGCGACAATTTCATTTCATTTAACAATATTTCTTTCTTGTTACTTCATCATGTATATTGTCTTTGCAATAGAGCTCTTATCATACAGAAGAAGCTTGAAATATATAGATAAAGTTACTTAAAATAGACTTGTTATATAAAAACATTATAACATTAATTATTGCTTTCACGTTTAAGTTTGGTACATTACTTTACACGGATGATATAAAGTTTTATATAGTACTTTATTACTCTTTCAGAATTTATGCTCGAAATAATAATATATATTAAACGTGAAAGCATGTATTTATAATATATTCAAATAAAACTTAACATTGTTGGTACTGATTCATATATCCATGAAATATTTAAAAGCCTAATAAAAATTTCTCTAAAATATCGCATAAATTACTTCCATTCTGGATTATTGTAAAAATCTAAGACACAAATAGATGGATATAGCAATTGAAAAATATACTTTTTGGCTGGATAAAAATATATAATATAAAAGGATGCTCCTTTCTTTCTCTCTCTATTGTTCCTCATATTATTAATAATCCTTTATTCAGTATTATGAATAATTGATTGCAAATCTGATGAAGTTGAAGGCATATCTTTGGATTCACTATTACATTGACTTGTTATTCTGAAAAACAAAACAATTGTCTGTAGTATATTTAAGATAAAAAATAATATTTTATTTTAAAAAATTGATTAAAACTGAAAAAAAATCATGTAAATTACCTTCCTTGTTCTTCAAGTTCTTTATTAATTTCTTCTGTGGATTCTGTTTTTGTTTTAGCTATACATGTTTTAGATTTAATTGAATTTATATTGTAATAACCATTTTCGGATCTGTTTAGGTATTCATTGGACAATGGAGATTTTCGTACTGTTAGATATTCTGGATTACTTGGAGACAACAATTCTTCATAATATTCTACTGTCTTTGGTTCTGTGGAGGTAATAGTAGATCCGTATTTTCTTGGTAGCATACTAGAATTTCTACTTCCATAAAATTCTACTGGATTATTATTTAATATAGAATTCAGGGAAGAATTTCTATATGCTCCTAATTCATCGTCCATACTAAAGTCTGTACTGTGGTATCTTTTATGTGCTGTAGACAATTCTAATGTCGGAGATCTTAAATATTTTCGTAATGGATCGTATGTTGAATGTGAAAAGGTACTATAATGTTCAGTGGGTGTTTTAACTTCTGTGTTGTATGACACTAGATCCGTGTATTTTTCTTTATCGATCGGTGATTTTCTATATGACGGTATGTCTTCGTTGTGTAGGCTATAACTTCTTTGCATTAGTTTTTTATTGGATAAAGGATAACTATTCAATTTACTACGATCTCTGTCTCTCGAATTACTAGAACTATATTTTCTTGGTAATGTGCTGCTTGGTAAAGTTATTCCTGGTGGTGGTACTGTTAAGGAAGGCCTTCTTCTATCATTAAATCTTAAATAAAAACTTCTCCTTCGTATTCTATCTATTACAGATTCTCCCTGATCTCCACGCGAGAAAAGAGAATACGAGGGTGAAGTAGGTGAACTTAAATCGGCTCGCGTGTGATTCATATCGGCCGAACATATCGACCAAGAATCAAAACTATCTGGTTCATCGGCAGGTGAAGTCACTTCGTCTGCATAAGTATTCATGTTGGTAGATTGCGTTGTATCTTTGAAAATATCTTTTTCATTTACGGGTTCAGTTTCGTCAATATTATTTAGGGGAGTATGCAATTTTGCATTAATTTCATCCTCCTTTCTCACGGCAATATCTTCGTTAGATGGCACAATATCATTATGTAATTCTATTTGATTTTCAATAAGTCTTGCACATTCATTGACCTCTTTCTTCAATTCAGCAACATCCTTAGCTCTCAATGGTTTATCAATAATTATTTTGTTACCAGTGATAGTAGCATGATGTGTCATTTTTGATAAAGAATCTAAGAACTTTTCAGAAGAAATATCAGCATTGGTTTCATTTATTTTTGGAGATTGAGATAGCACGTTGACATTTGGTTTAATCAATTCACATTTCGGAGATTCCTTTTTAGGGGTGGTATTTCTGAATGTGTGCTGAGGTATTTTAGATAAATCAAGCTTTAAACTTCCTCTGTTACCTCGTGTATCAGTATGTTTCGTTTGAGTAACATCAGAATCCGTAGCATTTATTTGAATACAATCGGGACTTTTACTTGAATTATTTCCAGATGCCATTAGTTCTGATTTATTTGATATTGCATCAACAGAAGAAAGATTTCCTTTCAACTTTGTTCGTGTTTCTTGAATGGAACTATCGCTAGTTGTAAATTTCGTTGAATTTTGTAAGTCAGAATTACGTTCGTTTGAATAATCAGCATTGATCGCCGGAGCTTCTGGACTTTTTTCTTTTTTAGGCGAGGTATTACCTTTTACGATAGATTTTAAAACTTTTGCTTTTTCTTCCGATTTATTATCAGAATTTTCGGACGATTTTTTGACTACTTTCTTAACGACACGTACAATTTTTTTCTTCTTAGTACCTTCAGCCTCTTCCTTTTGCACAGGTTCCTTTAATTTACTGATTTTGGATGTTTTCTTATCGCCATTTTCTTCTTTCTCTGCTTTCGTAACTCCAGTGCCGATCTTTTTTACAGATCCTACGTTCTTCTTCGTCTTTATTACTTTCTTCTCTCGCTTAGAAATGTTTCCTTCTGCGGCACCATTGTCCATTACTTTACGAGTTTCTGGTGGATTAGAAATAAGCTTAGGGTCATCTTCCTTTTTACCTGAATTTGTTTTCTTAACTATTTCCTTGTCAACTGAAATCTCTGTTGGAGATGATTTATCTATTTGCGATTCATCCTCTCCACTTGTTTTTAACAGCTTTTCATTAGACATTTTTCTTTCTTTCGAATTTGTATCTTTTTCTTTTACTTTGTCCTTATATTGCGATTTTTTCGATTCCGTTATAGAATTATCCAAAGGTTTTTTACCTTCTGTAGGTTTCTTAATTAATCTAGAATCATTTTTAACCATTTTCATTGGAATTTTACTTGTGGATGATGTATCCTCGTTCGTCGAAGAAGCGTCCGTTTTTACAAGCTTAGGAGGACTTTTCTTTAACTTACTCATTATAGTACTTTGCGATTTGATTGCGTTTGAATTTTGTTTGACGTCAGAACTTTTAAACAATCCTAGAACAGATGATACTCTACTTTTTCTAGAATTAAGAGAATTTTCTTTCGAAGACATATCCTCAACGCTAATTGCCCTTTTAATCAAATTTGATTCTGTGAACAAAGAATCTGATGGAGGCGCTGAGTTCTCTCTCAAAGCTCTTACTTTCTGATCGATCAAGAGACCACCATTGGACGAAGATTTGGGTGTTTCATCCGTTACACGAAACTTTTCTAATTTTTTTTCTAAAGAATGTAGAAAACTATTTCTTGAGGATTGTCTTTCAAATTTTAATTTCGTATTATCCTCTTTATTAGATTTATCGTCCGATGAAATATCAAACTTATCTTTTTTAAGTGAATTCATCTCATTCTTCAATTCCTTCTCTGGCTTTGTCTCTTGCTTACATTCCGCGCTTTTATTTTCACTTTTTTTTTTCATGAATCTAGATTTTCTCCGTTCGTTTTCCGCAGCCTTTTGCGCTTCTTTTTCTTTAACGTATCTACTTTCTTCCCGTGGGGTATCAAAGAAATCTGGCCGTAAAAAGCGTGAAATTCGATGTTGCTTCGGTTTCTGAGATTTGTCCTTTGAATCACTCTCTTTACTGCTACCACCTCTAAAGAATTTACTTAAAATAGACTTTTCTGGCGACAATGCTCTAATGTTCGAAAGAGTTCCTTGCGATCCGGCAAATGATTTTCTCCTATCACTATCTATACAAGGATCCCTTGTTAAGGAACCCGAACGTAATCTTAAACTTGGAATGCAACTGCGTCGCTTAGATATGGTCATGTTAGGTGCATCCGAGATTGAACTTAAAGATTCTTTGTCGCATTTATCGGTTTCTTTGTAATTAGAATTTAAATTGGGATCGAACTTCGATGGTCCTAAATTTTTCAATTTTGATTCCTTTATCAAATTCTCCGCTGCCAAAAGTCTATTTTCAAAATTTTTCGACGAATCCATTCTGTATGATGGTTTACCAGAATCAATTATATTTGACGACGAATCAGCAGGGGATGTATCGCGAGATTTGATCGATATACTAGATGTAGTATCGACCAAATTAGTGTTTGAATTACATATAGATACTGAAGTACATTCGGATACCGAACCAGCATCTAAATTATTATCCGTATTGTTTAATACATCTTTAGGCAACTGTGATGTATCTTCTAGAGATTCTTCTTGAATTTTATCCGTTCTATGAACACTAAAAGTATCTCTCCAAGTATTCCCAGAATTCGATCTTCCAATTTCTTTATACTTTCTACCAAGAGTCATGACTTGTCTTGGAAGTGGTAACAAGTTATCGTCGTCGTCAAAGAGACTGATACTTCTTCTAGAAAATCGATAATCTAGTTTATCCGCTTTATTTCCGGCTTCCAATAAACTATTAGTTCTTCGAATATTTCTATCGGCCGATCTACTTCTATATTCCGTTTGATCCGACGTAGTTGAACTAGAATGTCTTTTAATACCCTCGGCTGTATCTATTAAACTTAAATTTTCCCTAGTCGGAGATTGATAATACTTCTCGCATGATATCGATGACGATCTTGGTAATGATTGTCTAGTTTGTTCTATAAATTGCCTGCTTAATCTTCGTGCCAAACTAGGAGTAAAATTTTGTTCTAAGGATTCTTGAGCCTCTTTTCTGATTTGTACCGTCTCCGCTTCTATGTCTTCATGTTCTACTTTATCTGAAAAAATTGAGACAATGTCTGTGCGAATACTATAAGCAGATATTTAAAAAAAAAAAAAAAAAAAAAAAAAAAAAAGAAAAAAAAAGAAAAAAAAGAAGAAAAGAAAAAGAAAAAAAAAGAAATAAAAGAAAAAATTGGATTTTTATCAAGGATATGTGAAAAATACCTCCATATTAATAATTACACTCCTTTATTTCTACATACATAAAACCTTCTTATAAAATTTGTCGAAAAATTAATAAATAATGTTAACTCTCTTAAAAATCTCCCAAGTTATTACATATATATTCAGAAGTTTCCCCATTAATATATGTGGAACACTAATTTACACAAAATAATGCATATTTTCAATTAATCTTTCTAAGATTGCTAGCCTGTATAATGACTTAGGACTTAGAATAATGGAAGAATTTATAATTTTGTTCTTTCTTTAAACAACTTGTACAATAAAAAATATGACTGAAAATATGCATTCGCGGTAAATATTTTTTTTGTCAATGTCTATCTGTCTGTTTGCCTCTATAGTGCTCTTGTTTTCTCTCTCTCTCTCTTACGCGCGCGCACACATACACATACACACACACATACACACACACTTTCACTCACGCTCTCGTTCTCTCTCCCCCCTCTGCTCCTCTTCATATGTGTGTGTTTTTTTTTGTATATATATGTACATATATAAAATTTATTATATATACATATATAAAGAAAACCAAAAGTGTGTACTTATGTACTCATTTAACAATTACATGCACACAAAAGATTTACTTCACATTTTCAGAAATAATAGTTTGTAGACTATACAGACAATTAACATATCAAGACATAACTGCAATAGATTCAAAGATACACGCTAAGAATAAATATATTCCTTCATACTTGTCTAAATCACAATGTGTTAAATGAGTAAATTTAACTTAAGAGAATATAATGCAATATGTAATATTAAATACAATATGTAATAGCATTATATTAAAGCATGCTGAGACAATGTGAAGTAATAAAACACTGTTATTTAAACTCTTAAAACACAACAAATATCAGCCATTACATACAAGTGTTAGCTTTAGTTTGCCATATACAGCTTAATAACACCCTCCCTAAGAATGTCATTTCAAAAGTTGCTTGTATAACAACTATTTTTCTTTAAAACACGCCAACGATTAGCTGATTTGTCAATAACTTTTAGCAGGCATAGTACGATTTATTCTAAGTGTCCTCATTTTATTCAGTATCACATTTAAAACTGTCAGTTGCTATTTCTTTCTTTTTTCTTTTTCTTATTTTTTTTTATATATATACGTGTATATATATATATAAATTTCAAATATTCTTAACATGTAAGCATATATTTGATTTTATAAAAATTTTCTACCTCTTCTTCTTCTTCTTCTTCTTCTTCTTCCTTCTCCTTTTTTCATTAGTTTTATCCCCATTCAGTATACGTAAATAAATAATACATACATATACATGCTTGCACGTCAGAATAAATTATAAAAATTAACGTCTAATGCCTTTTAAATGTAACAGCCTTTTAGTGCACACACTTACGACCTGTTAAAGTGTGCTTTTCTTGAAAACTTTCATTAAACAGCTACATATACATATATATACATATATATATATAAAAAAAAAGAAAAAAGAAAAGATGAAGAAAACAAACGTTATATGACTACTTTGTGATGATACTGTTTCATACAATAATGAACGTCATATAAGATCAACGAATGTTCGAGGAATTCGAAAGAAGTGTATGTGATGAAATAACTCGATATTTATATGAGAAGGACCATCTGGCCACATTCACTAAATTAGATATAATATAGTACCTAACTTGGTATGTCTCTATTGGGGATTACCGTCTGCCCGCCTACGTAGAGTCACTCGCACGGTCGCTGCAACAACCGTTATAAAAGTCCGTCAATACGTATTATTAAACTAGACCACTGAGATATTGCTGAATACATCTTCGATAAACATACTTGCTCAGAATTTCACAGAATTACTTTGATATGATATTAAGAGCATATTATAGTATTTATAATATTATCAATTTAATAATCTAATAATCGTTTTGATTATTATGAAATAATATTTAGGAAGTATATGTATAAATTATCATTTCAAGATTCTTGTACTAATTTAATAATATTCTTGATAATTCCATTGTCTAACACAGAACTTATATATCACTAACATGTTTATTCATAGATCTAAATTAGATTAAAAAGATCTAAATTAATAAGAAAATATATTATTCTATTATAACAGTTAAATAATTCGATTGAAATAAAAAGTATTCTGTGTTTAATAAAGAATTTTATCAAAAATATAATCTCCTTAATATCAATCAGTGGTAATAAATATTTAATTTAATTACTGATTGAAGAGTCGACGATAGACGTAAAATAATGCATAAATTCGAACTATGTGGATTTCTGTCTTGGAAAGTGGAATTGAGTTTCTTATGTATATTTGTTTATGGATATGTGTATTCATGCTCTGAACCTTAGTATATTCTAGGTAGATGAAAAATAAAAGGTCTTTTTGCTAAACTGTTATAGGATAATATAAATCAACAACAGCATTGCAACAATTATTGCATATTACAAGGTTCTATGTCAGGCAAAGTGAGTTTATGATTGATTTTATGATTTCTTTTTTTTTTCTTTTTTTTCTTTTTGATTATTTTTTATTACAATTAGAGATAGTTGTCAAATATATTAAAAATATAAATATATTAAATGTATAAATTTTTATGGTTTAAATATAAACTATCTACCAATGATTCATGACAAGGCATTTAAGTTCTATACTTAATGAAAAGTCTATATCCTCTTTTGGGGCAAACGAATTATACATTAGATAATAAATCACGTTAACAAATAATATATAACAAATAATAAGATCTATAAGAATATTATTGACATAGCAATTATTGCTAATAGAAAGTATTTATAAAGTTAATGGAAAATTTATTTGTGAAGAAATATTCAATTTTGTTTTCGCTTTAGTAACAAATCCAATAAATTTAATAATAAACAATGAGTAAAATATAAAAAATGTATCTTCCACGAAAAAAAAAAAAAAAAAAAAAAAATAAAAAAACAAAAAAAAATCAATAAAAAGTCTACCCACCTGTGCCAAACATGAACCATCTAGTTATTCTAAAAAGTGTTAGTAGTCAAAAAAGTTGCAAAACATCGTCAGGCAATAAATCAAAGGAATAAATTGGAAAAAGAAAACAATGGGTAAATCAATAAAATAAACAGAAAAGATATGCTCTGTCTATCAACGACTCGACAACAGCTAGGTACTAGGAAATGCATACTGAATACAATCCAGCATTTTCTCACACGGCTAATATTCTTAGCCAGTGAAAAAATAGCATTATAATACCACGTTTTCACAGCAGATCGTTTCAATCTAATTATCTACATTGTTTAGTTTCTACGAAAGCGATATAATAACAGAAATTGCATAAGTAGTAACTACAATGTGCAGATATTATACAGCTACTGTGAAAACGTGTGTTAACACCATACAACATCAAATATTTAAACTTATACATTTTACAGTGGATTCCTGTTGTTGATAATTTATTTGAACAAGTTTATTGGCTTGGCTCCAAACAAGTAAAATAATACAAATTTCATACAAAGTAAAATTTTGTTTGAATACTTTCTAATTTTACTTTATCGTTTTACAGGTAATTCCACGGTAAACTGCAGGACGTATGTATAGATTAATATCCTTACCTCGTGGTAATGTATTGCTTCCAATTTCAAAAACGCTCTCCCTCGAAGAAGGTGCGTTGTGAGAACCCGGACTATTAGGAGAGCCAGGATTTATTGAACTGGTAGAATCTTTTCTACCAAATATATCAGTGTCACGGCTTAGAGAATGTTTGAACTGCGATTCGGACAGTCGCCTATAGAAAAAAAAAAAAGAAGTCCATTAATCATTATCGGAATATTTTATGATAATTAGCCAAGTATTCATTTATATCATATAGTAACTATCATTATTAATTTATGCCAAAATTGACATCTTCTGAATATATAATAGCTAGCGGTATTTATCAAAATAGAGTGAAGTAAAATGAAAGTGTAGTGCAAAAGAAAGGGTGCCAGTATCTATGGGCAGGTTGAAAGTATTTTCAGCCCACTTATTTCTGTATCATGTGTGCCACTACCACGTGCTGAATATAGAACAGTATTGCAAATTAAACTAAATAAAATAAGATATGCTTACAAAATTGTCAATTTATATCCGTACTATTAAAGTGCATGGTATAAAAATGTTTATTTTTATTGAGGTCCACAGGTGACATAAATTATTTTTAGCAATTTTCTACATTATTTTATTATTTCCTTAAATCGAACTCACGTTGTCACGGTCCTTGTTTCAAAGTAGGTCTCGTGGCTTGCATAAATGAGCAATGATATCATTGCCATTAGACAAAGAAATACTTAACTCATATATTTTTTTACATACGACAATATATCACATATATCATTTGTGAATACGTCATGTAAAATAATATACAACTCTTTTTTTTTTTTTTTTTGTTAATTACCTTGATAATGGCTTATTATGACTCCAAAAATTTTGTGGCGAATTAACTCCAAGTCGTCCCAATAATCGGCTACTTGGAAAACTACTACTGCCTCTATCATCAACGTTAAGTCTTTGTGTCAAGCTTCGTACTCTAGACAATAAAGTAGAAAACAAATTTTCAGCTGTTAATAGCTCGAAACCATCGTCGTCGTCATCTTCGCCGGAAGATAAACTATCGCCATGCTCAGATGGTTGTCTAGATGGCCGAGAGCTTCGCAATCTGTGCATATGCCTTTGTAAAAGATCTTCGCTATCTCTGCAAAATTTACAACGATATTATATATTTATAAATATTTTATTGAGAGTATAACAGAGCATGACGTTACCTATGTAAAGTAGAAAATGGTGATTCATCCTCGCTAGCATCAGATAAAAGAGAACTCATTCTTCTTGGTCTACTGAATCTAGATCTTGGCGCATTTGTACTAGTTGGCGTGCCAGTTTTACTTTCTGGCTCAACACTACCAGATCTGGGTGTAACATAGCCACCACCTTCTACAGCAATAGGAATTATATATTCCCTTGGGCTTTTTCTTATTGGTTCTGGTCCTATCGTTGAACCAAGAGCACTGTCGGTATCGGAGTCTGCTGTTGATTGACGAGATAAAGATCCTGATCGTTGGGACATAGATCTCTGTGGCATCGGAGGTTTGGGAGGAGTAGTAGGCGATTGTTGCACATGTTGATGATCTGGCTCAACCTATTATCATCGAGTAATACATAAGTAAATGTCAATTAGAATTACTTTTTTCTTTTTTCAAATTACCTGAATAGGAATAATCCTTTCCCGGGGTTGAACTTTTGGTTTTATTTCTGGTTCTAGACTAGAACTTCTATTTGTCTGTGGGACTACTGCAGCTACGGGAAATGCTATTTCAGATCTTTGTGTTCTTAACTTCTGCGACGGGAAAGCATCAATTTTAGCCTCCACTTCTGATTTAAAAGCAACCGTATCTGGAATCTTATTCCCTGACAATGTAATTTCCGCTTTACTCGTTTTTCGTGGTCGTGGTAAAGTGGCACTTTTAAGTGTTATTTCCATTTTGCTGGACAACTTTGGCTCTTCGGCTTGTGAATTATCACTATTGGATATTTCACATGTAGTAGGTGTCTGAAAAATAATAAAAGAGGTGTAACTTATGAAATATCATTCTTTATAAATTATAAAACTTTAATATAACTCACAGTAATGTCGGACGAAATGGAATTATTGTCAAATGAAAATTTGGTTTCAGTTGGCGTAGATACCGATACCGTTGCAGCCCTAATATCGTTTGGACCTACTGGTATCTTTAATCCTATCTTTTTAGACTCTTGGTTTTGAGGAGAGGTTGGTGGAGAACCATTAACTTTTCGAAGCACAGGTGGCTTACCAATTGCACCGGATATTATATCAATTGCTCGTTTCTTAGCTTCATCTCGCTTATTCGACTTTTCCTCCGTATCTACACTAGCCTGAACGAGTTTTGATTTATCTTCAATTTTTTCAGATTTCTTATCTACATCGATAATAACTTTAGAAGCATTATGTTTAACTGGTGTAAGACTGGTACCAGATGTAAGACTTGCTTTGCGTTCAAAGGCACGCTTGGCACCACCAACGTTAACACCAGGAATGAAAATCTTTTTCGGTTTTTCATTTTCTAAACTGGATGTCATTTGATTGAACTTCTCTGCAGTTTCAAAGATTTTCGATCGCCGTCTTTCGACGGGTTTCGTAACTACATCCTCTACTTCGTTGGCAAGTTCAGAATCAAGAGACAACGCTCTTTCTTTTAACTTCTTAATTTCTTTATCCATAGAGTCTATTTGTTTCATATCTTCCGAAACAGAGCGAAGCGAATTATCGATTTCCAATTTGTTACTTAAATTATCTTTATTTGGCACATTTATTTTGGAAGTATCGTTTAATTCCTTACTTGACGCTACTTTATTTGGTAATGCATGTGTACTTTTATTCTTTTCTAAAGAAGCAATTTCCTGTTGATGATTACTTTCTTCTGACGCCTTTGAATACGTCTCTTGTAACGCACTTTCCTTGTTTTCATTTTGACTAGTATCATAAAATCTATCAATATTTTTAGCAGACATTTCTTTGGATAATTGTTCATGCTCCATAGGTACAGGGGTCTTACTTCTCTCCTTGCTAGGTGATTTTTCTTTAGATTCTTCTATTAATTCTAAACAAGCTGCCGCGTCTACTTTATTTAAATCAACAGTCTTACTTGTAGGAACAGTTACAATCGCTGTAGGCTCTACTTCCATCGTTTCTTCCATTATAGAGTTTGGAATTGGTGCTGAATGATGCCTGGACGTTGATCTATACATTCTAGGCTCTCTTTCGTCTGATCTTTCTTTTCTCCTAGATCTTTCTTTCTTTTTAACAGTCGCCGCAATTGTCTCATCCATCGATGGCGTAGTTTCTAATTTTCTTTTCGCATCTGTAGCTGCTGCTGCTGCTGCTGCTCCTCTATTTTCTTCCTCAAATAATTCTCTTATTCGTCTATCTGAATTATTTTGATCGAATTCCATTAGACTACCAACAGAGTGACATCTCGTAGGTACTAGCGTTTCGGAAGACATATTATTTGCGACATCTCCGCTTGTTTGTTGATCGCCTACAAGTAATTTCTCTGCGCTAGCCGATTGAGGTACTAACGATAGTAACAAGTCAAGTCGAACGGGTGTTTGAGCAGCGAGATCTTCCGCAATGTCGAGACAATTTTGTTCATAGCCCTCATTTACCCACCAATGACTGCAAATCTTTTCAATGTCTGCTCGTCTAGCAGGACAAGCTGTGAGCATATCCCTTATTAGAGGGGAAGCAGCTGAAACAAAAGTCAAATCAAAAGATTATTTATGTCTCAATATTGGCTATAAACTAATATGGAAAAGTTACACGTTTAATATATAAAATTAATATATATTAAAAAAACTTACGAGAAGGTTTCTTGGGTTCAAAATAATCAGACTGTGAGATTTGCTTGACTAGTCGTTTAAAATTGGACCCATCAAAGGGCATGGCACCATAAACCAATGTATATAAAAGAACTCCCAAGCTCCAACAATCGACTTCAGGTCCATGATAAGGTGTACCTTTTACTATTTCGGGACTTGCATACAATGGACTACCGCAAAATGTACTCAATAATCTTTGTTCGTCAAATACATTTGACAAGCCAAAGTCAGCAATTTTTGCATTTCCAATTTGATCCAAAAGTATATTTTCTAGTTTAAGATCTCTATGGCATATTTTGTGTTTATGACAATAAAAAACTGCAGTTGCTATCTGACGAAATATTCTTCGTGCTTCCTGTTCGGACAAAACTTTACGTTCGCTCAAGTAATCATAGAGCTCACCACCGGCTGCATATTCCATAACCAATACCATTTTCTCTCTGTTTTCAAAAACTATCGAAGATAATGACATTTTAATATTTCAATAATTTGCAATTGTTAAGTTTTCGTAAGGGACGATTCTCAATGTTTTACCTTCATAAATGTGAATGATATTAGGATGCTGTACGCTCGACATGATTTGTATTTCTCTTCGTATCCGAATCAGATCAGCCTCTGTCTCTATCTTACATTTTTTTATTGTCTTTATAGCTACCTCTTGGCCCGTTTCTTTGTTAATTCCTAATTGGACCTTGCCATAAGTTCCCTGGCCCAGTTTCTTGATAATGTCAAACCTGAGAATATTGGATTATTAACGATCGATGCCAGCGAACTTAGAAAGCCGGCGCCTGTCGAAACAAATCGGCCGATTCTCGGGCATCAAACAAAACTCGTCGCATACCGAGCCGCGAATCGTTGCCAAAACTCATAAATCGGCGAACGCATCACCGATCGCATTTTATTAGTTTATCGCTCTGCAAACTTGTAAACTTGCCAATTAGAAAATTTCTAATTAATTATATTGCTTAACAGCAATAAACGAAGTATCGGTCGATCGATCAAACGTCAACGAGGATTCCAGCCAATTCGTAATTACGTGCAACGACGAGTTTCGTTTCTTTTTTCTTCGATTTACAGTTCCCTTTCTCTTTTTTTTTTTCTTGGCCATCACGATGAAGACACTTCACCTTTGCTTCAATTTCCTCTTGTGATTATGAAGACGCACTCCTCCTGTACTCTCCATGCCTCCCATTATATTATGTATACTAGCTTCGCCTACGACCATCTTGCTTGTTATTTATCTGAAAAAAAAGAAAAAAAGAAAAAAAAAAAAGAAAAAAATAAAAAAGAAAATGAGATGAGAAGAAAATCCAATTAACTCTATAATTATAAATAATAAATTCGATCGTACGATTTTATTTAGAATAAAACGGTATAAAATTAGAAAACATAAGCAAAAGTACCGACTTGTATTATTGCAACCATAGAGGAGGAGGAGAAGAGGATAAGCTAAGTACGAAAAGAAGCTTGCCATTTACTTTCTCTTCTCTCTTTCTTTCGCATGCAAATACGAAGATAGTTTTTTTCTGTTTTTTTTTCTTTTTTTTTTTTTGTAGGGGGAATACTTTTTTAAGGGCTTGACTCTAAGCATGATCCTTTTTCTCTCTCTTTCTCTTTCTGGCCGCTATAGTGCAAAACAGCAAGAGAGACGGACTAAATCTCGTCCCTGTCCTCATAAAAGGAGGATGACAGTAGGCGCTTTAAGCCAGGCGAGCTTACGTGTTAAAGAAGAAGGGTGAAAGCGAGATTGGAAGGGGAGAAAGAGAAAGAGAAAGAGAAAGAGAAAGAGAAAGAGAAAGAGAAAGAGAAAGAGAAAGAGAAAGAGAAAGACAGAATGCGGTGAGTTTATTTCGAGCATCAAGACGCCAACGTGTGTCTCCACGTCGGTGGGCTCCTCTATGCCATCTCGCATCTTCGCGCAAGGAATACATCTACCTATTGCTACTGGTGAAATCATTGAGAAACTAAAGAAAAAATTAACTTTCAATGTCAACGTTTTTCAACGATATAAATTCGTTTGGGGAAAAAAGAAAAAAAAAAAAAATTAACTAAATTTATTTCATTTCATCTATCGAACTGTGTGATCAATATTGATTAGAACGGTGTGATCAAAATATACCTACTTCAAGTATGAATTAAAAGCTTCATCTTGCTAATTATCTATCTTAATATTATATAAAGGTCAAGCGAAAGATTTTACGATTATCGTGTCAATCAAAACTCTAATCACGATGAAAATTTATCCGACATTGCGTTGTCAGGGAGACAACATCGAATAGCGCGAAATTCAAAAATTGTCGGTAAGGAAGGAATTTTAAAGGCTCTGTGTATTAGACCGGCGGCGGACATTGGAACATATTAACGAATACTGTTTCGATGTTTGTCTTTGGTAGACTACTCGCCTCGAGAGAAACTATATCTCTCTCTCTCTCTTTCTCGACGTCCGGCTATTAATGCACCGCAATATGGATAACGGCTGGCTTAAATGCGGCGTTCGTTCAGACGCCTCGTTGAGAAACAAGAATCGGGAAAGATTCACGAGAAAGACGTGCAACGGCACGCGGGGTGAATGAAACTAAAAAAAACAAAGCAATCATCAAATGACGACGATGCAAATGTTGCAAGATCGGTAGTCATCTTTCCCGGAAGAACTTTTCGCTTCTTGGGAAGAACTACGACGCCATTTGTCCTTACGTAATTTCACTATATTATTATTATTATTATTACTATTATTATTATTGTTGTTGTTATTATTGTTATTATTATTATTATTATTATTATTATTATTATTATTATTATTATTATTATTATTATTATTATTATTATTATTATTATTATTATTATTATTATTATTATTATTCTAATTGTTTAATGAATGAAACGCTTAGCTTGATATTGATGGCACATAAAAGCAGGGACAATTAAAAAAAGTGCAATTGTGCTGTGGCAGCAACAACTTTGAATAGGTTATATAGAACGTACGATATATTCACATCAGTGTCAAGTAGAAGCATTCTCTTCTAGATTGGACGAGAGCACTTTGTACGAACAAGTAGGAATTTTATACTCGGTAGAAGAATGCCTTGTCAACGTATTACTACTTGCCAGATTAGAACGATCAAGACGTGCACGAAATATTATTGCGTCATTATGACCGTTTATATGCAACAATAATATACAAGTTTCTATTACTAAAGAACGAGAATACGCTATATCGAAAAGACAAGTTACGATCTACAATATTTTAGCTCCGTTCTGCATTACCGATGCCAAAAATGTTACGTTACTATTACCACTTACGTTACAACCAGAAGAATATTATACTTGAACATCCGATCTTTATCGCAATTCATTGAACCATTCTAAAAACGAAAAGACCTCGAATAATGTTACTCTATATAATTTAACAATGTCGAGAGCTTTTACCAACTCAACTACCAAACTATAATTCACACGTTATTATGTATTTTTGTATTGCTTCTATTGATATATACATAAAATAGATACGGGCAGCAAGAGCGACTAGAACATTCCAAGGTTGGCCATTTGCCTTGGAACTAGGAGCCATCGATTTTATTGCTTCTACCGTTTAAGTCAAATAGATAAAATATTTCTGACTTCTCGATATTAATTTTTATGATTATTCAATTTTTCTACGTTCTTTTTTGCTTTTTTTTTTTTTTTTTTTTTTTTTTTTTTTTTTTTTTTTTTTTTTAACATTTTATTCAACCAAATTATACGTAACACATGTAGATTTGAATGTCCCGCTTTGAGATCGTTTCAAGCGTTGAAAGGAAAATGGGCAGGCAAAGAGAAAGCATTTCCGCGTGTCACGTGTAACGAGTTAGAAGAAAATCGGGAAGACTCATCCTTTCCTAGTGAGTTTCAGCAACTGGCATACATAGCGCAATGCCGTCTGCATATTTTAGAAGGCGATGCATTCATGCTCTGAGTTCATTTTCCCGTCCGTTGGACCCCTTCCTCCCCTCTTCTTCTCCCTCATCTTTCACTCCTTCTACTCTCTCTCTCTTTCTCTCTCTCTCTCTCTCTCTCTCTCTCTCTCTCTCTCTCTCTCTCTCTCGGTCTGTCTGTCTGTCTATCTGTCTTTTTCTGATGTTCGCGACTACTGGCTAGCAAGATGCAATGCATAAACGTATCGTCGCGACTTTTGAACCGTACACTTGTCGTCTAACAGTACTTAATAATCTTAGAGGGTCGTCGAGAAACTGAAACGTATCTTGAGACTAAGAAAATTCACTGAAATGAAGCTCTTACTATTCATTGAGAAATAAAGAACAGCGTTTTCTTAATTCTCCATTAAAAATTATCTACTTACATGAGTCATCGAAGTATCGATTTGTTCTTTGTTTTTCTATCTTCTTCTTTTTTTAATTCTCTCATTTTATTTTTTGTTTTTATATATACAAGAGGAAGACAAAAAAGAAAAAAGAGAGAGAGAAAGAGAACAATGGTAGGATCAAGAAGAGATATCACTCGTTCTCGTCACCGATGATCGGTAGTATATGGAGTATATAGAGGAGGGGAAAGAAACACGTGCGCGTACGAAATCATTCTCGATACTCGATCGGTGGTGCGCTTTCGATATTTTTAGCAGAGCACGTAGACCCGTCGCGTGGGCAGACCAGCCTCAGGGCCGACGTCCTAATGACTCCCATATCTTTATACGAATTCACGTTCTACGATCTGTCTTGTGAAAGTTCTGTCTTCCGAAAGAAAGGCAAACTTCCAAATTGATGAACGATGAGAATATTAAGTATAGAAAATAGATATACTAGATTGTCGTAGAATTTGCGTAGGTGTATTACAGAAACGGGGCAACGAAGATGGATTTTTTTTTTTATTATTATCGCTGATATAAAAAAGAAAAGAAAGGAAAAAGAAAAGAAAAGAAAAGGAAAGGAAAGGAAAAAGAAAAAAGAAAAAAAGAGTTTACAAGATCTTGTCTTACTCGATTACTCGAGACTTGTTTTAAAGGGAGAGAGCGAGAGAGAGAGAGAAACTCATTTCTTCAATAGGTCGTTGGAATGCGAAAGGAAAGCTTAAGTAGGTATAGTCGGACGAAGGTCGGGTTTAGCGGTGCGTGACGCGGTTAAGGATGATGTTCTCCACTATGACGTCACACGGTGTACTAATACGGTATCCTGGTGTGTGATTCACGTTATATTATTGTATCTCGTTATTCTCGGTAGGTGCCACGATCCAAAACGGTTTCGTTTCGCGATACGAACGAGCCATGACGATGGTGTACGATGGCCCCGTCGTCATCGACCCCCTCCAGCCCCCTTTTGCAATAATAATAACAACGTTGACACCACGAAATAACAACTACGATTATCTTTAATTTCGGACGACGAAATAACGCTGCGAATCGGTTAAAAAGGAAGGATCATCGTGTTAACGTTTTAAAAAGCGCGCCTCTTCCCCTTACAACTCTAACCTCCTCTTCCAACTTTTTTCTTGTCTGACTAAAAGGAGGAAGATCTACTTACTGGATGTTTACAGCTTTAACTTTTTAACCTTTACCTTTTCCTTATCGATATTATTTCATTTATGAAAAGTTATTCGCGCGCTCATATACGTCCCGTCTAAAATAGTAAATATCAAAGTCCAATAATCGGTTTATAACGGTGAAAGGATCAAGGCTACTAAGCATATACGGTTTCAAGCGTACTGCCGGCGGTACTTTGAAATCCGAGCTCGAACGGACGGCACTTGCATACTACATACAACATACATACATGCATGCATATAGGTCTATTCGAATACTTAAAGATTAAAACTATCCTAAGATCGAGGAGTGCTTTTTAAACATTTCATTTTCTAACAAATGTTTAACTTTACGATTGAACGATTATCGTAGGATGATTACATTCTTAGAATTGAATTTATGTATAAGAGTTCAAGAAGATACGCCAACGCGCATTGTTACTTTAAACGAGATCGACTCAACTGTCAATTGAGAAAAGCAAAATGTGTGTCAGCGTGTACGTGTTACACGCATACATAGACGTAAGCGCGCACCTCTACGAGAGCGTGCTATTCGGTATTTAGGTTTCCACCGATAAAAATAGCATCCTGATATTCAAAAGGGATCCTTTACTACGCTAATGATTATTCAACCACGATCCGTTTAAGAAAAATCATCCTTCCTAATCGTTCCTCTGCGATATTTGACTTAGTTCGAGATATTAAACTTTTCTATGACGATTATTCAATGGTCGTAAACACTTACAAGTAAGACCAATCGACCGTTCTTATCCTTCCTCATTTTATATACATAATATATAGATATACATACACATATATATATATAACTATCATAATCGGTTCGATCGTATTTCTCAGAGTCTCAAAATTGGAGCTCCAAATGAATAACGTCGACAGAAGGTTTGAATGAATATCGACAGTCCGGCCGTATTCTAAAAATAGCGAGAATTTGTACCTTACAGTGAACTCTGGAGCAAGATTATCCTCCTTTTCGGCCGCCACTCTTCCTCGGTCCTCTCTCGGTGTCTCACTCTCTCCTTTTCTCTTTCCTCTCTCTCCCCTCTTCTTTACTCTCTTTATCTCTCTCTCTCTCTCTCTCTATCTCTCTATCTCTATCTCTCTCTCTTTCTCTTTCTACTTCGGTAAATGTACGTAGATAAAAAAAAGAACACTATTTACACGTTAATTAGAGTACCTAAGAATGACGTTTTCACTAGGTCTCTATGCCTCTTGAGTTTTCTTGTGAAATCACGATTCCTCTACGTTTCCACTTCATTTTACCAGACATTTTCTTAGCGACAATGTGGTACACAACTTGCTCGTAGCCACCATCTTTTATTTACTAATTTTGGATCTGAACACCGGGAACAGGGAACGCGAACGGACCGCAGCTGCATTGCCACTAACTTCCTGCCATCTATTCATTTTTTCTTACTTTCATTCGTACATCTTACACGTCTATTTTATCCTTTTCGTTTTACAATCATCCCCTTACAAACTCTCTTTGCTTTTAATCAATCATATTTACGTAGATGTATATTGCAATCTTTTTAATTTAGAATAAGAGATAAGTATAAAAATAGTACAATGAATTTAACGATCCCCCAAATTCGAATGAAACGAATAAATTTGTAGTTATATTAAATACGATTCATATTTAGTTATAGAAATTCTCCGCAAGAGGGACAAATTTGTCTTCGACCATTTTCGACCAATCGTGATTAATTTCTTGGGCCAATAAAGTCAGTAATATTAATCAAATTGCGAATTTATGTATATTCAAATTGAAACGATTGAAAGTTTTCAAATGCGAAAATACAAGCGATAATTATTGTTCTTAAATTCTAATAATACTCGAGTGGATTGTTTATAAATAAGTCATTCAAAAAATAACTAATTATTTTTTTACAGAGTTATTAGACGAAAGAATATATGAGTATAATTATTCATTGTGATTTCCATAAGCGACAGATATGCGTTATAAGATTTTGCATGTGAACAATACGAAATTATAAGAATATTCTGATGGATAAAGTAATTTTCAAGATTTTTTTTAATAACACATGGTTTTGAATTTTGTATGACAAATAATTTTAAATTCGGCGCGTCTAATTTAAAATGGCGAAGTAAGTTACCCCTTCCGCTCTTCCTAATGTTCCTCTTACTCACGATAAGATTTTGTATTCTGTTCTTTTATTCCTATATAAGTTTCTTTGGATGTGTAGAAAGATATGTGTGTGTGTGTATGTGTACGTAGAATATAGATAGGCATGGTGTCGAAGAGGAAAGACTGGTGAAGGTGTAAAAGCGTCTTATAAGGCCTTCACATGAGGGGCTAGATTGGTCTTAGACTAATTAGAGCCTGTTGAGCTACAATAAGAATTTATATTGCTTGCTAGTCCACAATAGATTTTTATTGATGGTGGTACTATATTTATTATATATGGAAAAAATAGGATAAATATTAAATTTCTGTTTCTTACAAAAAAAAAAAAAAAAAAAACAAGAAAAAAAATATAGTATTCAATGAATGCCAAAGGTAATCCACAGAAAAAATCTAATAAAGAAATATCATTAACAATGATACCTAAGATTATGTCAGGAGCAACATCCACTAAATCTAATGATAACATTTTATTAAATTCTGTTAATATATTTGTAAAATCTGAAGAGAAAACGTTTATTTCTTCTAATAAGACTGCCCAAAGTAATACGTACAAAAATAGGGAGATTAGTGATTCAACCATTCAATCTACTGTAGATCAATTAGAGGATCATGAATCGCATCAGTCCAATGCAGATACGCATAAAATAAGCAATAGTGATAATATATCTTTGCAAGTCAAAGAAATCATTGCATGTCCAGAATCACATCCAATATCGCAGAAAGAAATGATAAATGAACAGAAACCTATAAAGTCTATTATTATACCTTCTGCACAAGCAAAAAAGAGAGGAAGACCTAGGAAATATGTGTGTATCCAAATTCCACAAAAGTGTGATGACGACTCTTCGCAGTTACATGTTTCCAATTCAGAAGCATCAATGTATCACACAAAAAATTCTACAAATACGTTTGTAGATGCATCCGACAGTAAATCCTCTGATCAAAATATTAAAGTAAATACTTCTGACAATACTAATGCACCTAAGCGAAGAGGACGTCCTCCATCGAAAAACAAGAGCATTATTAAAAATGAAGTAAAAGATCGTAATAAAAAAAAAGTAACCATTAATACTCATGACATTGAACATATACCAGAATTATCTAACACAGCTGTAGTCACAAAGGAAAATAGTAGATTAAATGTAGTAGAAGAAGAAGAGGTTAGTAACATGATATCAATATAAAGTATATCTATTATTATTTTATATCTCACTGATCATTTATTTTAATTTAGATTCAATTAATTAAGTGTATGAGATGTGAAAAAAAAATAGCAAAGGGACAACAGGAAGTACATAATTTAATGAAACATAACAATATGGGTTGGTATGAAGGAGAAGAATCAATGGTATATAAAAAAAAAGCTATCTTTTTTATAAGATTTATTAAGAATTATTTAAATAAAATTTATAATATATATTGATTTTCTATTAATACTATTATAGGACTTTCAAAATGATATAAAATTATTGAAAAGGGTATTAGCTAATGCCATAAAAAAAAAGAAGGGTCAACTTGGTTGTGAACAATGTGGAGCAATAAAACGCAGTGTTAATGGATTTATATCACATATTCAATTTTGTGGTAAATCAGATGATGTAAGTTGCATTATATATCCTCACGTTATATTGATAACATTATAAAAAAAATTATATTTATTATAATTAAATTCTGATGTTAGGAAAAAAGAGCATTAATGGTAACATGCTCTGTATGCAATGCCGTTATGATGCCATCATCTATGGAAATTCATGAGCGACATCATAGGGATTTGAAATATAATAAACGCAAAAGTCTACTGATGGAATTTCCGGAAAATGAAAAAGTAAGACGTAAAGCTGCAGAAAAGTAGGTATAAATAATATAACTGAGTAGACCTCATTAAAACTATTGTCGTTCAACATTTTAAAATAATAAACCATTTTCTTTTTTTATAGAGCAGTATCAAAAATATTACAGTTTACAGAACTTGTTAAGGATGAATGTTTAGGACAATCTAAAAAGGTGGATTTAAATTCTTCTGTATTGGTAAGCAAATATAAAGCATGGTTTTCTGTAATTGTATGTGCAACTATATTAGCTTGCAATTATTTACAAAATGATGCAATGCCTAAAAGTTAACAATATGTAGGCATAGATTGAATAGTTTTTTTAAGATTAAATAAGCAAAATTTCTATCATTTTTGGTATTCAGGAATGTTACTGGATATATTTAATTTTCACATTTAAATTAATGTTATTAAGAAATTAAGTATACTAAGAAGTATACCAAATAAAAATACATTGATAAATTAATTTTGCTTTGAAAAGCTATTTTTAGACTGGACACTTATTGCATGCTACATATCTTCTTCACTCTTAGATACTATTATGACAAAATAAAAATGGATAAAAGGATTTTGTATATATGTCTAAGAGAATGAAATGTCTAAAAGAAGAGAAAACAAAAATATGCATAAGAAAAGATATTCATAGACATAAATACACGTACGTCAATGATAATGAAAGTGGTTTACGTGAAAGTATGGAAATATTGTGTTGAGAGCAATTATTTTGTTCTGTATTATTCTGTTCAACTAAAAAATTTTAATTCCTCGCAAACAAAAAAGATATGACTTACTATACAAGAGTATATGTATATATATATATATATTGGAATGGAGTACTGGAAATAAAATAGGTACATGCTTAAATTCTGTTCTAATCAAATGCTAATGTCACATTAAACTGCTTCTATGACACATGATAAATTCTCACTTAATTATTAAGAAGACAGATTATGCGTTTAAGTCCTTTATTATGGTATGTTCAAGACCAAGATATATATGATAGAAAATTATTCACCCTCTTTCATTATGTGCAACATTAATTGTATTTCATAATATGCAACATTATGTGCAACTAAACAAATCTATATATTATCTGCAATTGTATAAATTAGAAACAATATTGTTCAATGATATACATTGTAATAATAATTATTATTATTATTATGTTAATACAGATGCTAACTCTACTAAGATCTGGAAGATTAAAAAATTTTGTATTTATTTCAATATTTATAGATCACTCAAAACGTGTGTTAAGGGAAGTGCCCAGTCTATTGCTATTACATACATTATAAATCTTACTTCACTAAATAGCAGTTTTCAGCATTACTGGTTAATATAATCTCTGTGCAAACAGTTTGGTTTATAAATTGATATCAACTATGATCCATTATATAACACAATAACAAATACTATACTGCATCTATAATATCTATTATATAATTTAAATATTATCTTTCAAAATATTATGATACATATTATCATAATTTTTCATTCCTATGCATTGTGCACATTTTTATATATCTTCAAACTTCTGCTTATTATTGTGTATTTTTCTGGAGTAGTAGGGTCTTCAATTCAATCAATATTTAAATAATTCTAGGCTGAAGAAATAGTACCAAATACAAGCACAAAATGTGAAGATATATTGGATGATATAGATGGTACATCAAATGTTACTGGTATCAATTTTCAAGAAAATAAATCTTTTGAAACTGAACCACACCCAATGAAAATGAAAAAGCCAAAAAATGAAGATGATCCATTTTCAAAAATTGAAAGTACATTACCTGTTACTGAAGATCAATATGATACATTTGGATCGTATGTAGCAAGTGAAATACGGTGTTTGAATTCAGACTACTTACGCAGAAAATTAAAGAGAAAAATACAATGTGCTATCATAGATATACAAGATGAAGAAGATCGACTTCCAGGATCAACTACTCCAGAATCTTCATTTACTTAAATTACTCCGTTATTTCTCTCAACTATCAGAACACCTTTTTACAACATCAATATTCACCCATTTGTTTTTATTAAAAACATTTTTTTAGAATACGTAAAGCAAAGACAATTTGGTCTGAATTACAATAAGTAATAGAAAAAATCAGTACTTTTACATTATTTTTTAATGTAATATAATATAACATAGAAATTAAGTTTCACATTCCTTTTCAAATAATTTTACTGTTTCTTAATTTCAATGTTATAACCTTTAAATCAATTTTATTGAATTTATATAAATTTTTCCAATTATTATTGGATATTTACTATATGTGAATCTGCCACTTCAATACTAGATCTATGTCTTGATTTACATCTAACTTTGAACGAAAGAAACAATTAAAAAATGTATCATGCAATAAATGTCCATATCTAAATAGTTTTTAATATTATGATAATGGAATGGCTTGCACTGGTGTTTATGACCAGATTATTTTGTTTTTATTTTTAAGTTATCCTACATCTGGCTCTTGTTATGATATATTTACACAATTATAGAAAAACGTAAAAATGCCGGAATTGAGAAAGAAAGTGCCGTCTGTATGGAAAGCTATATGGAAGAAGGAATTAGAATTAGAAGGTGTATCAAAATGCCGTCAAATAGGATGCAATTTTTCATGTTCTTCATATGAAGATATGTGTAAACATTGTTCTGAATGTAATTTTACACCTCAAGAGGTAATATAAGAAATTTAATTTTTTCCATATCATATAACGTGTATTTTTATCATATTAACGATATATATATATATATATATTATTTGTTTTTAAATAGAATTTTGCTTGTAAAATATGCAAATTTTTTGCTGAAAGTAAAGAGAAAATTATTGAGCATATCAAAGCTAAACATGAAACTGATGATAATGCAGATAATTCGCCTGATTTTAAAAAAGAAGATAATACATCTGATGAAAGTGAAGATGAGCCACTTGCAGAAAGATTTAAACAGCAATCGCACGCTATAAATTCGGAAAAAGAAAGTATGTATTACAATAATTAAATAATTATCAAGAAGAAAAGAAGAATTTAATCATTGTATAAAATTATAAATATATTTTTAGAATCATGCAGTATAATGATGTTTTTGGATGATTCATATTCGTTAAAAGCACCCTGGAGTAAATTTTACTTGCCAACTTTGAACTGGACGATGGAATAGTAAGTGTGAATTGTTTTCTATTTATTATAACAAATTAAGTCATTTACTAATTCTTACAGTGAGATGGAGAATTATGAATTTCAATTATTTCATGATTATCTTCCAAATCCGTTTGTACTATTAAATAATGAAGATGCAATGCGATACTTACCTCCATTAAAAGCATCAATGCCTACAAAAACAGTAAATTTAAATTCATCTGGCAATGTAGAGAATGAAGAGAGTGAATGGAAATATTGGAAAACATTTGAAGGAGGAATTTCTCAAGGTGAAAAAAAAAAAAAAAAAAATAATCGACTTACAGTCAATTTAAACTCATTTATTTTTATTGCTCTACAGATTTACCAACATTTTTTACTGGTGGGCCTGTATGGGCCTTAGCATGGTTATCTATTCCAGCTTATGCATATCTTAAAACACCCGATCAATATATAGCATTAAGTACGCACCCTGACATGGAAAGTGAATATGCTATAGGGAAGGCATATTCGGGACATAATATGATACAAATATGGAATATGGGTAAATTAAATAATGAGTAAGTGTTAAATGTGTTAATAATATTTATAAACTTTTACAGCATCATTAGTATAAATATATTTTCTTAATTGTCAAGGTCGAAATCTATAATTAATGCTCCTATTTTGTCATATGCAATTGTACACAATAGCAGTACAATATGGTCTCTTGAGTGGTGTCCATCTGGATGTTATCAAGATGACACTCTAAATAATTTTGAAAAAGGAACAGTTAGTTTTAGAAGGATGGGTTTACTAGCTGCTGCTGGTTCCGATGGTTCTGTATATGTTTACTCATTGCCATTTCCAGAAGAACTTAAATTCAACAAATCTGAAACTAATAAGTAAGAAAATAATACATTTGTTATAAGTATAAAAACTTATCATATATGGTTCATTTAAGTATTACATATATAACTTCATTTTTAGTCTTCCAATTTACAAGACTGATCCTGTATTGATATTAGTTGTAAATAGTATTATATATAATAATGACAAGCAACATTGGCAATGTACCAAAATATCATGGACAAAGGAACGTGGGCATAAGTACGATTTATATCCTTTTATCATGACTATCTTTTAATTACATTATTAGTAAGAAATATATCTAATTTTAAGTACATTTTTTAGTACCATTGCTGCAGGTTTTTCAAACGGTTATATTGCATTATGGGATCTCACAGAGGAATCGCCATTATTAAAACAAAAACAAAATGATTCATTGATAATAAATGCATTTTCACATTTCTTTGCACATGATAGTGCTGTTAGCAGTAAGTAAATATAAATTATGCTAATAAAAGTGCATAAATATATAATAATAAATTTATTACTTCGATAGTGTTGGCGTTAATTCCATACAACAATCAGCGATTTTTAGCTTCAGCCAGTGTAGATAGATTTTATAAAATATGGGATTTGGAAAATACAAATTCTCCTCAAGAATCTGTAAAAAAGGGTATGATAACTGATGGAGTATGGATGCTGCATTGGCCTAGTGCTGTTATTGGTTTTGATGATGCCTTAGGGTATTAAAAATACTTTTATTTAATCTTGAAAAATGTTAATTATTTTAAATTTATTATTTGTGATTTTTTCTAAAGTACACCTTAATGATTTTCTTTAGATTTAGACATACAAACTCGTACTTGGTTCCATTGAGGGAACATGGATTTAAATTGTGTCCACTACTTGCAACTAATTCTCCAACATATGTAAGTGCATTATAGGTTTTATAACTGGATTAACATACGTTAATGTTATTTAAAGTGTACGTATTAATTTTTTTTAGACCGTCGCTGTATCAGACCATGCAAATGGTATAGCACATGGTTCTTTGGCTGGAGATATTATTTCTATTTTTCCACATCAGTTATTATATGCAAAAGATGTAGACAAGATATTGCCAAGAAAGAGACAAGTAGGTATCATATTCTTACGAGCGTATTTTTTTTTTCTTTTCCATATAACGTATAATTTTTTTTATATACGTACTTGTTGTTTTAGTTAAATTCTTTTATTAAAGTAGTAGATTTAAAAGAATTGCCGAAGGACAGTCTTAAAAAGCAAAAAGGAAATGGTAAAGAAAAAAAATCAAAAGATTATAATTATATGCCTGAGACATATAATGAATGTAAAGAACGTTTCGGTATTATTTTTCACAATAACTTTGTGGTAAGTATATATTCTTAATTAGATTATCATGTAGCATTCATAAAAAATTTTCATTTTGAATATAGAGCGTAAAAGATAGTTTATCAAAGGACATACACCAAAAAGTTTTATATTCTGAAAAGTTGACATATGTTCCCATTGAACAATATCCATTTACGTCTGTGAATAAAGTAAGTTCATAATAATACATTTAATAAAATTAAAATCCAGTAAAGTAATAATTCCAAATTTTTTGCAATAACTACGTTATTTTATATTCTTTAGATAGCTTGGAATCCAAATATGTGGAGTCATTTATGGCTTGCTGCAGGTTATCAAAATGGTTTAGTAAGATTATTGAATTTTACATTTATGTCGCCGAAATGTGATATGAACAAATTAATAAAGGAGCATGCAGAAGCTTTTTTAAAAAGGATTAAAAATCAAAGTAAAAATCATGATTGACATAAACATGAATACTTTTAAAAAAAAAGTAAAAGCTCTGGTCCAGTATTTTTAAGATTCTGATCTCTGAATTGTTATAATTTTATGCGTTGAAATTAATTTAATAAAATATATTATCTATTATCATTTTATAATGCACATACATATGTCTTTATGTAATGTATTTATTGTTATATTAATTTTCATATAGGACGGTAATGGTTGAGAATACATAAGTTACATAAGATTATGCATCTGTGTAAAGTAGTTAAATAAATGTATAATTAGATAATTTATAAAGAAATACTGGATCAATTTTACATTTATTATATATTAGAATTCTGTAGTCAATTTATTACTTTATGTTAATTTTTAAAACTTATTTATTTTATTGTAGATATTTTATATAAGAATCGAAGTATATGTATATACTTCCAGTATATTTATTTTTTTTAAGGAAACTTTTTAATGTCAGTATGCAAGTATTTTATAAGTTTTAAGTATGCTGTGATATGAAAGAAATATACTCTGTTTAATGATTGTAAGGTTTTATTTATCAAGATTATAATCTTAAACCATTCTCCTGAGAAGCTCATTAATTTTGTCTTCGCGATTTCCAAAGTCTCCACCTTCTACATAATGATTTGTCTTCTTACGCCATCCACCGTTAGGAGTATTCAGCTGAAAAAATTACATACAAATATGTAAAATTAAAACAAATAAATATATAAAAATAAAAGTGAGTAAATATTGTGGGAGTTAGTCTTGAAATAATATAATATAGTATAAATTTCAATGGGTCTATACTCCTGTTATTTTTCGACATAGAAGGAGGTAATAAAACACAAATAGATGTCTTACAACCATGCCTATGTCGCAGTATGATTAATAAAGAGATCTATTCCAAAATGGTTTTTGCAAATAAAAATAGAATGAAAAAGAAAAAAAGAGAAAAATGGGCGAAAAATGAAAGTTATCACGTTAATTAGTTAAATACCTTAAAAGGCCATAAGAAATTGCTTGCATATTTAAACTTGGGTCCTACTGTAAATATTTCGTGGATCAAGTCTTCCATACAGATAATTCCTGAACGACCTGTAAAACATAAAGTTGTCAAATATAATTTATTACAGTGTACACTATGATAAAAAATATATAATAAAATATATTATAAACATGTTAGTATTTCTTAGAAACTGCATATTAAATATATACCAAGAATTGCACTAAAAAACACTATTTGATTTATGACAATATGGAAGGAAGCATATACTGGATACATACTTTCATGGATTTGTCAATATATATGTGATTTGTTTTTATTATCATATATGAAGTATACTACTAACCAAGCTTTTTCTCGATGATACTGTTACTCGTAATGGGAATACGTTGTCGGTTAACTTTAGCAAAACCACGTTTATAAATCAATTCTCTAACAGACTTCAAATTTGGATATCCCCAAGTTATGTATGGTTCCACAATGCGAAGCATATTTATGGTGGCCTTGTTAAGTTTTACAAATATACCATTGTTGATTTGCTTTAAACGGAAAAGCTGAAGTACCTTACGTACTTTTGGCGCAACTTGATTAACACTAAAATAAATTCGGTCAAATAATATTTCATAGTAACAAACATATGTACATATCTAAAAAGAATTGTACTAACCCACGTATACGAATAACAAATGCTAGTCTTGCTTCACCAGGAATATAATAATTTCCACGATTTTTTGCTTGTCTGATTAATCTAATTTCATCTCTTTCTTTTGTTCTATATTCCTTAACATAGTTTTCGGCCTTCTTGAAGATAATCTTCCTCTTTTTATAACGATTTGCACGTTGCTAAAATAAAAGTAAATGATTATGTTATCAAATATTATATAAGATCTTTAAGTGAAAATAATAATTTTTTATTGATCAAAAGAGTTCAATGAAACAATTATTTCTTATAAAATGTTATGTCATTGCTTACCTTAATAGATGTTTGTAAACGTGCAGCTTTTACCGACTCGCGTCGTCTTATTCTTTTCAGTACCGATTCTGGTACTGCTGGAAGCTTTTTAGCCGCAGTAGCTTCTTTCTTTCTACATATGTTAAAATTAAAATATTAAAAATGATATGTATTATCATATAAACAAATTAACTTTACAAACAAATTACATATCGTAATATTTTCATCAGTGGAATCATGAATTTACAAATATTAATCTATAACAAATATTTAATAGGATTAAGTATATTCTTCGCAACAAAAATTATTGTATTATTAAAGTTAAAGTAAATTTTTTGAATAATATCAACGTGATATTTCATGTTTCATGTTTCATGATACATAGGTTACACGTTGGCGATACGTTGTTCTTCGTATATTCACAAGAAATTAGTAAACTATAATACAGAAACAACTGATATATTGTTCTTCGTCATTTTGGTCATAATTTTAAATAAAAATAAAGTACATATGTCCCGATGATATTGGATATTTTTGAGACAGTAAGGTTACTTACTCTTCCGCCATTCTTCCGCCAGATAGAGAAACTTTCTAACCTTTTGTCAACCGAGGATTGATTCTTCTACATCAGATGGCGCTTCGAGTTTAAAAGAAATATTTGAAATATTGGCGCGATTAATTGGAGTTTATAAATATTCGTAATGTTCCAAAGGACTTGGAAAAATTGAATGTCGAGCGAAAAAAAAAGAAAATAAAAATAAACAAGTAAATGAGGAGAAAAGAATTAGAAAATTATTCTAATTTATTGAAAAAAAGCAAATTGTTAATTATTGTCGAATTGATATCATCTGCTGTAAATTTTTAAAGAATACACATTGAATAGATTAAAACAACTATAAAAAAACTAAAAAATAATAAAGATTACTAAAACAGTAAAATTTTTAAAATGTTTAATAAATTACAACTATTGTGTTTCCCGGGCGATATATCGCAGTCGAGATATTATTTCTCGAAAATATAGAGCGCAATGTTCGCATAACCATGTGATGACGTCAAAATATGGCGCCTTGATCAGCTGGGTGTTGTGTAGTGCGTGCTTGAGATGCCCGTCTTTAGAAAATCAACCGAGACTGTCGTCTGTCTACTAAGATACGTGAGTGTTACTTTCATTTTATACGATTAAGTATCACATTTCATATTAAACAACGAAACAAAACAATGACGTAGAAAATCTAAATTTATATTTAAAAACGTGACAACATGAAAGATATCGTTTTTGATCATTGTACAATTCTCTCTGCTATTCGAAAGAGAAAATCATCTAAATTTGCGAGAAGGAAGGCACGTTTTGCGAAGGAATTAATTATCATTGGTGATGAAGATAGAAGTATCGTATTTGAAAGATCGTAGCGTTATAAAACATTTGTGTATGTAGAAAAACACAAAATATGGTGGCTAGAAAAAAGATCTCTTCGTAATCATTTACTTCGCAGATTGTAGTCTCTGTTGAATTTATTCAAAGCCACGATCTATTCGTTAACATTGTACTTGATGAAGGACTAAAGACTGACATCGTGCGTAAGCGGTATCGTGAAGATCGTTCGTATTTGTTCGAGTTTCGTAACCATTATCAACTCCATATTTGAATTCAACAAGTAACAGAATAGGCAGTTGCAAGTCCTGCTGTAATGCAATCTTTTAACTATTACATATTGGTAATGGCAAATTTTAGAAAAGGAGCTTTTTTTTTTTTATTCAAATGATGATTTCTCGCGTACAAAAAAATTTGTTCTCTAACGCAACGGCCTCAATACGAGGATCGAATGCAAAATATAGTTCCCATAAAATACGTCTTACGTATCCATGTTAGTGCAGTGCGAATTTAAATGCGGACGGCATTTGATGCGTGTCACCCGTTGGACGAGGTTACGATGAATAAAAATGCATCTTCCTTCTTACATGATGTTGCCGTTTTTATTGTGAAAATCACGTTGAGCTTGACTATTGGAGCAGACGCCATTTTTTCTATATGATAAATATTGCGCGAGTGTTTGTAAAGAAAAGGTGCCAACACGGATGATATTAGCATTGGATCTAATTATTTGTCTATCATATTGCAGTTTCGCGTGCTTGTAATGTGGCTAGTTGTGAGAACTGCATCGATTTCGTCGACATACGCATCGTTCGGTGCAATGTGTTCTCGATAGCACCGCCATTTTGTCGCTTGTTAGTGGATAAACAAATGACGATGTCGTCGTGGGTACTTTGGGTTCGAGGCTAGGTGTGCGTGTCCTGTGCGCGGAAATTTCAATTTTGCTACTCACGCACGTTCTCTCTCTCTCTTTTTCTCTTTCTCTCTCTTTTTCTTTTTCTCTCTTTCGATATACACGATGTCGCCACCGATGAAACGAAGCTTTTACAAAAAGAATTAATTACGCTCAAACATAAATAAGAGACATGTCAATTTCACTTGACCTTTTGATGTATTTTTTTATGTAGCAAGACAATAAAAAAGATTATAATAGAAATACAGAAATAATACGTCGCGGCAAGGTTGTTGTAAGGATGTGACACTTTTGTATACACAACAAATTTTACTTTCTTTTTCAATGTTGATGATTATTAATTTTAAGAGCCTGAATAATATAAGTCTATCAAAATTTTATTGTGTGTTTTTTGTTAATACATTGTATTCTCTTCATTAACAGCATTATCTTTTTTTTTAAATTATTATAAACATATACATACATCGTCTACACGTATATACGTACGTACCTACGTACGTACGTATATACATACATACATACATAATACAAACAAATATGTATATACATATATGTATGTTTATGTGTATATATATATATGTGTGTTAGTATTATTATTAATTTTTTATTTCATTAAATATGAAACACTTTGAGTTAATATATTTATATTATATATTTTTATAAATAATTTAAGAAAAGTATCTTAAATCATTGTAAGCGCTTAATTAGTAGTATCGATTTTAGTAATATTTTTGTACATGCAGTGTCACATTGTTATAATGTTAAGCTTCTTTTCATTGTTATAAGGGAAAGACGAAAATTAGGATATTATTTGATACTTCGAGCATAATGATCTCGACGATGCGTACCCAGGTTACAGGTAATTGGGATGCATCAAGCAAATGTACTTCGACAGACATTAATCTAAAAAAAATTAACGTTGGATAATGAGACCATTGAACAGTGAAATCTGGCAGAACTTCTTTAAAAAAGTAATTATTATAAATCACTTTTGTGTAATACATTAACGAAGGTTGTAACGTCATTATCTTACAGTGATCAAGGAAGAACTCAACGCGATATGCCACCAGATAGACCAGATTCCACAGGTATGGAAAGAGGAATAGAGTTGAGATCCAATCAGATTTTCAATTTTCAAGATGCAACTTATACAACTAAAGAACGTAATAATGCAAATGCGTTTGTAGAATCCAATTCGAGTTACGATGTTCAAGAAGAATTACCTATCAATGAAAAATCTATAGAAAAGAACAATCATTCAGACGATGACTTAACTTCTCTCAGCTGGTTACATCAACAAAATTTATTAAAGGGATTAGAAATATCAAACCCCAGCAAGGATATCAAGAACGAAAATCTTTTGAATAACAATGTGTGCGACGATATTGCAGACTTCTCTGAAAATACAAATTCTGTTTCCAGTTTGGATGATAGTTATTGTTCAGGTATGACGTGCACACACGCATGCGTGCGCGCACATACACACACGCCACACGGATTTCTTATTAAATCAGAATAAATTTTTAATATTATCTAAATTGCAGAAATTAGCAGTAAAAAAATAAATTCTACATCACAAAGCCATGGACAGCAAAACTATCAGCACTCGAATAGGAATTGCCAGAAGTCCAGTCAAGTGTTTAATGACTGCATGAAAGGTCATTATGAAACTTCTCCGAGTGATCAAACAAAGATATCATTGAGCAACAACAATTTGCCAGTGTCAAATCGCAACAAGCATCCTACACATATCCCTTACGATCCTCATTTACATAGAAATAGTAAACCACCATACTCGTTCTCCTGTTTAATTTTTATGGCGATCGAGGACAGCCCTGTGAAAGCTCTTCCAGTTAAAGAAGTTTATGCATGGATTTTGGATCACTTTCCATATTTTAGGAATGCACCTACTGGTTGGAAAAATTCCGTTCGTCATAATTTGAGTCTGAACAAATGTTTTCGTAAGGTAGAAAAAGCTCCAGTAAGTATCCGATCGTCCATTAATTAGAACGTTTTAGAATAGAGAATATATAAATGTATTTTTATTACAGAATTTAGGTAAGGGCTCATTATGGATGGTAGATGCTCAATATCGTCCAAATTTGATACAGGCATTATCTCGTGCTCCTTTTCCACCTCCAACCGCACAAAATCTTTCTACTCCAGAAAAAAGTCAAAGGAAGAATGCAAGTGCACGTCTTCCGGATCCTGTCTTATTCCCATACCTTTCCAAAAGACTGGCATCTAGCAATATTAGCGAAACTCCTGAAACAGAGGTAGACAGTGACGTGGATGCTGCAGCCGCGGCTATGCTTTCCTTTAAACACGGGCCAATTATATTGAATCACAATAGAGGTATGATTTTTAATAGTAATACCATTAATTCTGACGTTTTATTTTAATTATATTCTGATTACAGATCGCAAGAAAAAAATATTGGAATCTGAAAAATTAGTTCCTGTAATCACAAGAAGTTCTAGCGAAGATCATACATATAGTTGTATTACTTCCATCAAATTGGAAAAGTATGAAATATAGATTATTCTCTGTTCGGAGATACATACATTTTTATAGCCGTTTCTAAAGCATAAATTAACGAACTGGTCTTGTTATAGCAAGTACTCAAACGAGGAGGTCTCTACTGATTTCGATGAGCAAAGGAAAATAGCAGAAGGGGCGGATGCGCTTCTTAATTTAGCGGGCGTTAATACGACACCCAATAATAACAAAATACATCACGTACAAGCTACGAATCCTGTATCAAAATCAGAGAGCGTGACAAAATCTAAAAGACGGTTAGTTTCGAACGATTATTCGAGCACAGCGGAGAAGAAACGTAAACGCTGGCGAGAGTGGGGCGAAGGAAATCGGTACCTAAAGCATATTAGAGGTTAATATGAAATTTTTCTCATATACATATATGTATCTATAGTGATGAGAACTTCCAGCTAGTGCGTGTATCAGACAGTGTCTAGGGACACGTTTTATAAAAGTATTTGGTAAAGAACGTTTCTTGATTTTTGCGGTATTAGCTTCGGCGAAAGAATGATCTTTAACGTTTTGGTTCTATATATGAAGTCTTTTATATTGACTATTATATAGGAGTATTTATAGAAAACAAAGAAAAGAATGTATATGCGCACGTAATTATCTATAACGTATCAGATAACGTTCAAGAGTGGTATCGGAAGAAAAATCTTTGTAAGGTGCATTTCTAAAGAATTGGCGATTGCTCAGGGTTCAGAACTCGCTATATGCCAAATGAAATTCGGTAGCACTAAGCAGCAAGCAATAATAGCAATGTAGTTGTAAAAGAGTTACTTTCTAAAGATGTTATTTTAACATGGTGTAGAGAGAGAGAGAGAGAGAGAGCGAGAGAGAGCGAGAGCGAGCGAGAGAGAGAGAGAGCGAGAGCGAGAGAGAGAGAGAAGCGTATAGAGTAAGGTCAATGAAGAAAAATGCGATCGCATATTAAGCTAAGAAAAACGATGAAGTTTTTAGAACTGTTGTGCTGGTTATACATATTAATTCATAGAGAGTTTAATTATTGATAATAGAGCCTTATACTAGTTTTTTTTCTGTAGATATGTATAGAGATATATAATATCTATTCGATAGAGAAATTGATAATATATTTAAAAAAAAAAAAAAAAAAAAAAAAAAAAGAAAAAAAAAAGAAAAAAAAGATTATACACACGTGCGCGAACGCATAGAGAAAGAGATGCGTTCGTAGAAACGTATACATACACATCCATGCTCACGTACTCATTAATTACGCTCAACAAGTGCATCTGTGAATGTACGCGACTGTAGATTGGCAGTACGCGCGCTGCCAATGAGTAAGCAACAAAGAATATGATGTCGAGGTATACGCTCGGTATGAATTTGAGATAAGGAAATCTATCGTTTCACGTCTTTTTCTACTATCTTCCTGGCTTTTGAGATGATTTTAAAGAATGCTGTATATATGTAGACCCTATAATGTATGCACAGACCAGTTTTGAAATTCCTTCGATTACGTGACATTTTGTATCCGCACTTTTCCTATCGATCTGGATAGCGATGGAAGAATGTGCAAGGAGACATCCTATTTTTATATAAGAAAAATTAAAGAAAACGATAACAATAAGAAAAAGTCTGCGGATACCTGTCTTTAAAAAAGAAAAAGAAAAAAAGAGTATGTATGTAGTATGGATGTGAATATCGAAAAAAACTGGTATTGCATATATTAATATGTAGATCTATATATAGAAAGAACGTATATTTTTACAGGGCTCTGCCCGCGTGATAAAAGCTCTTCCTAATAACTCGCTAATACACAGATCATTAGCATAAATCATGTAAGAATTGCGAATGTTGAAATTCGTGCGTTGAAACGCAATGTGTGCGTTGTGATAGAGCAACACGCTCGAAACCAGGTCAAGCGTTCATAGGAATATCGTAGAATCTATACTGAATTTCTAATATTATCATTGTAAATTAATAAGAAGTTTACGGTAGTAATAATTCTACGATTGACCGATAAGAATTATTGATAGGACGATACACAGTGTACGAATATGTAAATTCTTCACGAAGACTTTTCGTATTGGTTTCGACACGTTGCTCTATCATTATTTTCTTTGCGCGATATCGTAGGTAGACATCAGCTACGGAAGAAAGTCTTGATTATAAATGGTGCAGGGAAGAATGCCATGTTTAAGTAGTCGAGATAACTTTGATTTTTCATGCACATATAACTTCAAATTATTCTACGTGGCACGTACTGTACTATACGAAAATTTATCCGCCGGTGGATATTAAGTGCTTCATTCAAAATTTATATACATATATACATATACAATGTGATATGTGTATATGCATATATATGTACTACGTGCGAGATAATCTCATCTAGATATTATGTTTCCACTGTCTGTGATAACGTTGCAATACTTAGTACAACTCGTTGTCATTGCTATACCTGAAGAAAACGCAAGCTTTAGAGTCGCCTAAGTGGTTTTTATTTGGGTTTCTCTATGTCCTATTCGTATTCTCTCCAGTCGGTAGAAGAGATATTTAATGGACTACTTGGCATTCTTGTTCACACCTCTACTTTTATCATTTTCTTTGGGATCAGAAAAGAAAGCCAAGATGAAAAAAAAGGGGTAAGATGGGGATGAGATAAAACGATTGGAAAAGGGAGAAAATTTGTATTTGATAAAAGTTCGTTGGAGACTAGCGCGTAGCTTTTGTTCTCTGCGACCAAAGGTGCGATCTTCCATGTAGAGTTTATCGTAAATTCAAGTCGATCGATTATAAGATGGCCGGAGATCATTTATCGTCATTAACAATCGTAGCTGATTGTTAGGGTAGATTAATAAAAGAGAAAACAAAAAAGCCTTTAACAAGATATAGATGATCGATCGTTTATAGCGACACATAAAATACAATGAAGCAATGCGTTCATGCGATGGTTCTTGTCGGTTATAATAAAAGAGAATACTCTGTTGGATTATTCGAGGAAAAAGATGTATGCTTTTGCCGTGGTACGTTCTAGGAAACTGGATAGAGAGCAGCAGTCGAAATGCTACTATTGATCGGTAGATCCGATCAATTTAATAAAAGGAAAATGTATATATATATATATATATATACACACACACGTATATGCAATTATCATCGTCGGCCAAGGAACTACCGTGTATCAATTGGATAGATTTGTTTTTTCAAATAAGAACCATTTGACCGACGGTAATGACAACGAGATTGGTCGGCGGATTTCCTAAAGTAGGAATACGTCGGCCGCGTGATACACCAGAAATATGGAATATGGAGCAAGATAGACAAAATGTACCGCAACCTAACCACGGACAATCAAAATGGAACATGGTGTTTGATTTGCTTCCATTACATGACATCGTGCCAAACGCAGAAAAAAAAATCTTTTTATTTCATAATATGAATATATACTATAATTTATTCATCTATACGTTTATAAAGCGTATACGTTTATAAAGATAAAATCTTTGTTATCTGTAATATCATCGTTATCTTTGTCATCGTCATAATCATCGTTATCACGATCATAAGCATTACCATCGTCACCTTCGTCATTCAAAAAATATCATCATCATAATTATTTACACCCATCGAGAGATCGTGTTTATTATCGTCGTTGGCGTCGACTTTAGTCGACTTCATCATTATATTGCTATATTACCGCTATTACTAATTTTAAAACGAATCATGCGCTGTAAAATGTTTGTTAAGTTTTTGACCTTGCTTATGTATTTTAAGTATATTTAATATGCCACGTTGTAATCACGATGAAATCTTGTCTAATGAAACGGATAAAAATGGAATACAAAAAGGAATAATAGTTTGATAAGTACCTGACCCATGTGAGAAGGATATATTAGAGCTCGGTGTTTAAATGAAGAACGAACGAATTTCGTATTGTACGATGAAAAGAATTTGATAATCTGCTGCTGGGGTGATAGGCGCGCACGAACAGAAGATAGTAGATAGGTACGTACGCACGTACGTACATATAGATATAGATATAGATTGCTAAGCAATTACGCGTAGCGCGGGAAATATTTGAAAGTGGGAGACTGGCCCGAGGAGTCACGTGACCGGTGACGTAATGCGCAAATGTCGCTGCGCGATATAATCGCACGCGAGAAGCGAGCGGCCCGGTAGACAGGCAGGCAGGCAAGTAAGCAGGCAAGTAAGCAAGCAAGCAGGCACCAGGCAGGCAGGCATCCCTTCGTGGCCGTGTCTCGGCTGAAAACTCGTCGGTCTGCATTCCAGTGTCGCGGACGTTGCGCCGGACGCCAAGCGGACGTCGCGGCGAAGCAGCCGAGACACGAGAGAGAGAAAGAGAAAGATAGAGGGAGATCTTACTCGCGTCCCTTCGTGTGTTACCTCGTTCCCTTCCACTTCTTCAGATATCTATTTTCATTAACAGTGCGATCGTGCTCTACGTTCTACGAAAGATGAAGTGAAACGTTAAATACCGGCCCTCGTACGTCGTTCCCCGTTCGTCGTAAACGGAGGGGAAGAAGAGAACGGCAATCTCTTTCGCGGGGAACGTCCAAGAGTCGGTGCGTCTCGTCGTATAGAAAAGAGAGAGAAAGTGAGAGAGAGAGAGAGAGAGAGAGAGAGAGGAGATTTAACGCGCGAACGAAGCACCGAGTAAAATAGGATTCAAAAGGGTGAGTTATTAAAATTTACATTATTCCTTTGTCACTACCCTTCATCTCTCGTCGTTGCTTTCATTTTCTTCATCTTTTTTTCCCCCTTCATACTTACTTTTTATTTCTTTCTCATTCTCTCTCTCTCTCTCTCTCTCTCTTTTTCTTTATCTTCCTACCTACCTACCTACCAACCTACCTATCTATCTATCTCTTTCTATCATTCTACTATTACGTTACCTTGTCGTTTCTAACCTACACACAAGCGACGAAAATCTGTTGCACAAGTTTCACGCGATGCATCCAATCGTTTGTTCGTTCTTTCGTTCGTTCGTTCGTTCGTTCGTTCTTCCTCGAACGTTGAAGATAAGATGCGAGCTGGTGGTTCATCATTGCGAGAGAGAACGAAGGTAAATACGTACATACACCTGCCCTCCGCGGATCAGGACCTGTACTTGCTCGTGCTGAGAAAAAGAAAGAAAGAGAAAGAGGGAGAGAGAGAGGGCGAAAGAGAGAGAGAGAGAGAGAGAGAGTGAGAGAGAGAGAGAGAAAGAGAACGTGTATAAACGAGGCGACGACGTGACGGCGTGAATATCACCACGGCGCCTTACTATAACTTTGTTGTGTGTATGCTTATATATGTAAGTGCGTCCCTGTGTATTCTGTACGCGCGCGCCCTTTAATTCTTAAACATTTTCGCGCTATCGTTCTCTGTGAAAGTGTAAACGTTTGAAGGATTTGACGTTTTCGCGCCTCTTCCGACGCGCCTGCGTTCTAATTCAAAACGTGCTATCATCGAAACGAAACTGACAACGTAAAAGGAAAGCGTTAGAAAATCTGATAAATATTGTTGGAGGTTATACAGTAATTATGTTATAAATGTACGAACGTTGTTATAAAAAAGGAAAAAAAAAGAATGATAAATTCGACGTTTTAAGTAATTTTTTTTTCTTTTTTTTTTCTTTTTTTTTTTGTAAGATCTTCCCTTTCTCGTTATTGCGAACGTATAAACGTTTCAATCAACATGAAATATTATGTACTCGAAATATCAAAGAGTTTCTTAGAGAGTTGTTCGGTCTCGATTTTATCTTACTCCGTACTCACATTCTCTCTCTCTCTCTCTCTCTCCTTTGTATCTATCTATCTATCTATCTATGTATCTATCTATCTATCTATCTATCTATCTATCTATTTGTCTTTCTTTTTCTTACGAGTGAATTCGCGTTCATTGGAAGGGATTGGTTCGGATCGGCACGCGGCAGACCATCGTTCGTGTTAACCTATAAGGAAATACGAAAGTATTAAAATGCGCTACCGTATCTCTGTTGATCCCATATCGATTACTCGGGCTAATATTATAGATTCTTGATCCGTTAATCCGACGAAAAGGAAACGAACGAGTACGAGCATGAAGAAAAAAGTCCTGCTCCTAATTTCGTAACTGTACGAAGTATTACGCGATTAAGCGATTAAAAAGAAAAATTATTAATTATCTTGTATTAATAAACCGCTTAGATTTCTTTCGTTTTACTTTTCCCTTCTTATTTATATTCTTCGATCAACACGATCCATATCAACGATACAGATCGATGAATATGAATAGTAGTGAGTCATCGATTTCATTCGCGTCAACTTTTTCCACCGTTGACTTTTATCGCTCGAGGTTAAGTGTTCTCGCTCGGCGAAGCGAAGAAAAGAAAGTAAAAAGTAACTAAAAGGAAAGATAGAAATGGAAGGAGAATGAGGCAAGGGAGGGAAAAGAAAAAGGAAAAAAAAAGAAAGAAAAAAAAAAAAAAGAAAAAAAAAACTTCTTAGCGATTCGTTAAAGATGACCGTTTCTCGCAGCCTCCTCAGCTGTTCATTGTGAACGCGTCCATTATCGTGCTTTGGTTAGGACTTAAATGTAGAAAATGAATCACACCCCCTGCTATCTCAACAGGATACTCATTGTCAGTGAGAAACCCTCTTCAAGTTTCGAACGATTGGCCTCGGTAAAGGTAACGGGTTCCCACTGACTGTCGCATCTATTGTCTTCTATTTTAACTGGCCAAACGAAACCCCCAAACAGCCATATTCTCGTCGACATACGCAACTATATTATAATATAGAAGCCTCGACCACTTTTTTTCTATTCGTTTCATCTCTCTCTCTCTCTCTCTCTCTCTCTCTCTCTCTCTCTCTTTCTCTTTCTTTTTCTCCGTTTGTCTCTAATAGCATAGCTAGTTGGAGAGAAATTCATTCGTCTTCGGATCTCGTGAAACAGGTTCTCTTCTCCTTCGATCTTCCATTCGATAAGGTAGCAATAAGCAAGATACGTATCACCGATAGATTCGATACGTCGTCAAAGGATGACGAGAGTGGTACCGTATTTTATCGATCTATTCGAATTCGAACCAGAAACTATTCGTATAATCCAGGTTGTAGGAGCCTCCTCGTTCCTTTCTGTCGAAGGTATTCGAGGTCCTTACGGACATTGTAGGGTTGTGAGTAAAGAAAAGAGAAGGAAAAAGAAACAGAAAACACAAAAAGAAAAAGAAGAAGGAGAAGAAGAAGAAAAGGAGAAAGAGAAGGATGAGGTGGCGAAGGAGGAAGAGGAAGGGAGAACCGCGGAAGATCGTGCTCTTGGAGGCTGTTGTTGCCTTGCTTCGTGTAGAGTTTGAAAGAGGAAGGGGATGGTTGTAAAAGGGGAGGGATAAGGAAGGGATAGAAAAGAAGGAGGGGGAGGAAGAACGCGTCTTCCACTCGTTTCGTTCGAACGAGCTTGGCAACCACTGCTTTGGAATTCGAGTTCTTTATTTTTACGAGAGCCAATGTCGGGGACCGAGCCTTCTTTGGAGTCCTTCTCACCTGTTACGTACCCACCAGCCTCAGTTGCTACCATTTAACCAGTATTCGAGATTATTTCTGCGTCTGGCCCCGTTAACGCGCTCCCAAAAGCATTCTTCGCTTGGTTTACACGCGAGGCGTCTTCGCTAGTCTTTCTTTCTTCGTATACATTGACTACATTCTAGTGTATGTATATATATATATATATACACATATTCTTTACTTTTTTCTTCCCCTTTTTTCGTCACAAATGGCAGACTCTGAAAAGTATTAAGCCTCTTTCGTCCCGTGGGGAACGAAATGAAGTCGAAAAATGCAGCGTTCTTATTATATATTATGAATTTATTTGAATATATTTCTCATGGAACTAAAAAGAAACACATGGAGGAGTGTTACTATGTAACGTTTTCTATAAAACGTTCAGACGATATGGTTATAGGTATAGGTATAAGTTTAAGTATAGGTATAGGTATAAGTATAGGTATAGGTATCTTAGCCATGTACTCTTGCGGTAAGACTTCTTTTCTGATTCCCGAGCAACGATAAACACGATGATCGGTGGCGCGTGGGCGAATAGAAGAGAAGGCATCGAAGTTTTCTCTCTCTCTTTCTCTCTCTCTTGTCCTACCGTATGTCTACCTACGCGTTCTTCGTGGATAAGCTGCTTCGAGGTCCATCGAAAAGACGATGCTGCATCGTAAAACGAAACGGGAAGAAAATCGCGACGGGGAGATCGTTGTTGTTCTCGTCGGAATCTTCCGAGAAATCCTTTGAGAAAGGATTACTTGGATAGGATTACGACATTTCGAAAAAGATATCGTTCAAAAAATAATGTCAGATAATTAAGAACTGTCTGTTCGAATAAGTGTATACAAAAGCGTACATACACTTGCGAATAGTGTCAAACTTGAAATAGTTTCGCAAAAGTTTTTCAACAATGGAATAAGTATGGACGATGATAAGAACGAAGGAAAAGCCAAGGTCGCGAATCGTTCGATTGCGTCGATCCTACGTGTCGTGTCACGCGTGGGTGCTTTACGAGAGAAAGACTGACTTGCCTTACCGAATATGGATATTTTCAACTCTTCTTTATTTCGTGATATCGACTTTCGTATTACACGAACTCTCCCTTTAGTATAGTATTTTGCTTTGTCCTTCGAAAACTTCGTCGTAGGATATCAATGTTGAAATAATGACAAGAGAGTATCGCGTTACTTCTTCCTATCCTTATTAGAAGATAGAGCTTGCGTATGCATACGTAGACAATATTTTTAATTACATAATCGTCCGGCTATCGCGCGTAATGATGTAATTCGTAAACAAACGATTATTATCGTAATCGTTAATAAGGTAAAATACATTGGAGTACAACTATGCACGTCCTAGTTCTTATCGATATCGACATAGTATATTTATGCTATACCGGGATCTTCTCTCGGTCGGAAGAAACGAGCTCGTGTCTTGGGTGCAAAGAAGGCGCATAGCGTCTATTTTCACGTCAACTCTTCGTTCTAAAGTTAAACGCGTGCGCGTTTCGCATTAATTTTAGTGAGAGGCCGGGCTTTGGCCCAAGGAGGGTCCCTTTGCTGGGACACTGTCTCTCTCTCTCTCTCTCTCTCTCTCTCTCTCTCTCTCTCTCTCTCTCTCTCTCTCTCTCTCTCTCTCTCTTCCGCCAATCTGCTACCTCGGAAAAGATAGTGGAAAGTGGGATGAGAAGATTTTCAACTATCTTTCTCTAATCTTATTCTATATCCTTGGTTCGTTGCAGAATGCGTCAAGATGGGATCCGTCTTCACCCTACGTGGCATCGTCACCGCTCTTGTCTACGCCTTGTTGCATCCTGCAAACGGTGAGTTTACCTTTTTTTTTTTTATTTATTTATTTTTTTTTCATTCCATTCTCCCTTAAAACTTATTTCCTTTTATTTCGACGTTTTCATCAAAATAGAGAATCTAAATCGTTCAACTCCGACGATTCGAGAAATGTTTACGAGGATCACGAAATTGGAGGAACACTGGAAGTTCTTGCCAAAGTAGCTTCGTTTAATTACACCAAGCCAAAGAAGACACCGGCATGGCGTAGAATCGGGTTGGCGAAAATAACGACATCCTTAGGAAATTCGTGAAGCCTCTTAGAGGATGCGGAATGTAAAGTTGAAAGCAAGTTTGCAGCATTCGCCGAATTCTAAGGCTTTATTAGCCGTTGAAAGTGTCTACGTCTACCACCGTCTTAGTGATGTATGATACGCTTTAAATAACGAGCCTGCTTAACTCTTCTCTTGCGTAGCTCTTCTTCCTCTCTTCTTCCTCTTCTTCTTCTTCTACTACTTTCAACACTTTTCATTCCAATTCGTCACCTCGAAATATTATATTTTAACGAGCTTTAACTCAACTCGATTTAAAACGAAATATAATTTTCTTCTTTCTTTTACCTTATCTTCAGTCATTTAAAAACGATCTACTTTTTACGTTGAAGGAAAAATAATAATTTGTTTGTGGCATGATGCTAAGCGCAAGAGAGGATAGAATCGCGTTTATGGCCTTGAAGAGGCGTTACTTTGGTGCACCTACGCGAATATCCTAGGACAATGGTCGAACGATGAATACCCAGGAAGATAGATCGGTCCAGGTAGAGAGGGAGAGAGAGAGAGAGAGAGAGAGAGAGAGAGAGAGAGAGAGAGAGAGAGAGAGAACGTTCTGTTCCGTGACCACCCTGATCACCGGATTCGATAGCACTTCGTTCCATTGTCGGTCTCTCGTATCTGTTCGTGAAAAATGCTTGCTTCGAAATTTCCGCAACGTGGGATGATTTTATAGACAGGAAGCGATTGCTACGTGCTTCGCCGATATCGGGATCTCGATGGCCTTTGAACGTACACTCGTTCAACTGGTTTTTTGCGTTAGCGTTAGCGATCGCATTACCAGGAAGGCTTCCTTTGCTTTGACGATCTTTCCACGAGCACGATATCGTCGTGGTTGATCTCTTTTTTCTTTGTCTCTTCTTGTTTGTTTTATGAAAAAGATCTTCTAAAAAGATCAAAAAAACTTGATAAGAAAAAATTATTATTTGTTACATTAATTTATGAAATAGAGAAAGTCGATATTTCTGTTCGATCTAAATCGATGGAACTCTTGTTTCTTGATTGACTATAGGGCAGAGACAGGAGCTGGGCATGTCCTTCAATTGGCATCCAAAACCTTTGGCCGCGCCGTTGGGGGATGACGTGAATTTCGAGTGCAACCTCAATCTTCCACCGGAAAGATTTCAATGGCGGCACAGGCCTCTCGGCTCGGACAAGTGGACGCCCCTAGCTCGTACGGTGAACGCGGGTGCTGGGGCCAGGACTGCTGTCGTTGTCAGTTTCGATGATAAGTCGAAGGCAGGCGACTACCGCTGCGTAGCTTTTTATGGTAACTAAAACCATTCAAGTATACTTCTTACGAGTAACGACGATAAAGACGGAAGAAGAGATACGAGATAGTCTTTTACATGGACTAAAATATAGACTTAGGTATATAGATATGAAAAAAAGGAACAAAATAACATTTTACATAGGCTCCAGTGGATTGGCGTCCGATCCGGCTCGTCTGACTTTGTCGACCATGCATGAATTCTCCGACAAGAGTGACATCGAATTACGCGTACCGGTTGGTAATACCGTTCCTATAACATGTCCAGTGCCTTACTCCGTTCCGGAGGCGATAGTACAATTTTACAAGAACGACAAATTGATGCCAGAAGTAGAACTGATAAACGGTCGAACGATAGCCATCGAAAATGCAAAACCCTCTGACTCGGCGTATTATTATTGCACGGCTAATAATTATATAACGTCTCAAACCTTAAGGAGCAATCATATGACCATCTTAAGCGTTCATGCAAACGCGTCTCGCCAAGCACCGTACTTCTCGAAACAGCCCCAAACCGAGTACACCGTTTTACGTGGCAAAAACGTTACGATGGAGTGTTTTGCCGCGGGCTATCCGGTCCCTCGTGTAACTTGGAGCAGACTGGGTGGTACGTTGCCTTCGAGATCCGTACAAACGAAAGCTGGCTTAACTATAATTAACGTGCAACCTTCCGATCGTGGCGAATACGATTGTGCTTGGAGCAATGGCGTAGCCAGTAAACCACTTAAATCTGTGATCATTTTGAAAGTTGCCGAGGAACCTAGAATCGTGAAACCACCAAAGGCTTCGACCTTCTCCGAGGGTGGCGAATTGGAATTGTCCTGTACGGTTACTGGACAACCCGAACCTACGGTCGAGTGGTTAATAAACGGCGAAACTTTGGTGCCCGATAATAACTTGGAGATTCGTGGTTCGACCTTGCTCATATCGGAGGTTGAGAAAAAGCACGCCGGTATAGTCCAGTGCGTTGCCAGTAACGAGTATGGTTCCGATACCGGCTACAACTTGTTGAGAGTCAATCCAAAACAGCATGTAAGTGGTATATCCGAGTCTAGGCCGGAATATGGTCTTCCTGGATCCTCTAGGCACAAACATACCAGGGGCGGAGGTAGGAGAAGAAGCAAAGAGGGAAAACGTAAAGGGACCGGTAATTATCGTAACAAATATCAAATTCGTATCATATCTATCGTAAGATATTACCATTTTTCTTTTCTACTTCCAGCGGTACTGGTTCCGCCGAATCAGCCGAACGTTACTCGACTCTCGGACGTTTCCGTCATGGTTAGATGGTCTGTACCGGAGAACAAAGGTCTTCCGATAGAATTCTTTAAGGTTCAATATCGTCAACTTGGTCAAAAGATGAACGGTAAACAGGGCAAGTGGATGACGGCGAATACGGAGATACCTAATCACGTGCGTTCTTTCGAAGTGACGGACTTGCAGCCCGATAATACTTATAGATTTAGAATAGCTGCGGTTTATTCGAACAACGACAACAAACTAAGTCCAAATTCGGTGCGTTTTCATTTGAATCGTGATGGTGGTTTCGAAAGCAATAAAATGCCGATCCCTTTGCTGACGAATACCGAGGCTTTGAATCACAACGAAGTCTTGCTCCTTTGGCAAAATCTTGACAAATCAATGGACATCGATGGCTTTTACGTTTATCATCGTGCCTCCACATCCGCCGGGGATTACGTGAAGACTACGGTCGAGGGAAAAAATTCTACGAACATAACGATATCTCATTTACAACCGGACACCACATACGAATTTAAAGTACAAAGCTTCTCCGTAGACGCCGCTTCGGAATTTTCCAAAATCTTAAGACAGAAGACGAAAAAGGCTCCGGTCGAGCAAGCAGTTCAGCAAGTCGTAGCTGAGAACAAGTTAAAGCCAACAGCGAACGACAAGAATGCCAACATGTACGCAATTATCGGCGGCGTCTTTGGTGGATCCATTCTCTTGGTCAGCATCGCAGCTATTGCGGTGGTTTACAAGAGGACCAAGATCAAACAGAGTCGTGAATCCTCTCAAAGCGAAGGTACGTTTTACCTCTATTTTCTTGTCTTTCTTGTTTCACAACTATATATACGAGAACGCTTTGTCGTCCTTAATCACGTATATTTGTGTACGCGCATATACTACACACGCGTATCTACATATATACATTGTTCGTGTAACAGGGAAGCCAATAGCAAACGGAAGAGTAACGAACGGAGGTGTGACCGACTCTAAAATTAACATAACGTCGAATCCATTGGCCGGTCTCGATGCTTCCGACGATATGATCCAGCCTAAGGTCGGTATCTTTATTTAATATTATTACAAGAATTTTCTTTCGGAGAAACATTCATTTTACGATCCCTCTTATTCCTTTCTAAGGACATCCTAAACTCGTTCTTTCAACATTACCTCCGTATTTATACTAATTTTACAAAAAGAAAAAGAAATATCCTTAACTCTCTTATACTTTTTATCGCATCGATCAATGAAACCAAAGAAAAACTCGACCTCTCTATCCACTAATCTTCTTTTTCTTCTTCTACTTTGTATCATCTACCTTCTCTATCGGAGAGAGTCGTTCCTCCTTCTTTGTTTTTCCGAGCACCATACACGTACGTTAACTTACACGCTCTAGATCTGAAACGAAGCAACGAACACGCATGTTTCTGAACAGAGCGGACAGCAATCGTCGATGGAAATGACCTCCTTTCTAAACGGCCAGAACAACAACGGCAACGACCATAACAACGAGGACTCCGTTGGAATCGACGTGAACGTTCCCCGTAACGAGCCAGCACCCTTGCATCAAGGATCACCGCCTAACGAGCAACCACTATGAACTTTCCTTTAATGTGTTCCTTCTGAAATATCGTTCTTTCTTCGACCAAGTTCACGTTGAATTTAAAGAAAGAAAAAAAAGAAGAAAAAAAGAAATAGGCAGCTTTTACCGATACGCAAGGTTCTTCCATGAAATCGTATCAGGGTAGTTTTTTTTTTCTTTTTCTTTTTTTCCTCTCTTCTTGATCGTGTAGAATATAATACGATAAGTTAAACAACTTAGACATATCAGAATCAACACGTTAATTGCCTAAATTAAACAATTTATCACGTTTAAAAGAAATTCTTCAAATTCTATCGTCGCATGCACAAGTGACGTTATTAATGTAACGAAGTTAATCATACGTTAGTATTGTTGCTTCTACGTTAGAGTAACGCTGGTGCATGTAAATCAACGAAGGACAAATTCGATTAAAGCTTCGACGAAAGATCTCTTTTTCGTGTTAGACAATACGTATGCTCTCTTTCTCTCTCTCTCTCTCTCTCTCTCTCTCTCTCTCTCTCTCTCTCTCTCTCTCTCTCTTTCTCTCCTCTTGTGAATATTTGATTATATAAATCGTAATAAGTTGTAAATATAATTTGAGATACGTTTTATCGTCGAACGCCGTCCAAAATAAATGTGCTGTGTCTTAAAACAAATCTATTCCTTTTATTCGAAATTTCGTTTGGAAGCATCATTTATAAATCTAATTTATATTATATCCGTCCTTTGGGCAATCGTCAGATCTGATAATAAATTAACGTGTTGAAAAGCGATTTACGTATAGTGTATAAGAGATAATAATGAAGAGTGATTCGTATTGTAAAGACGCGCAGAACTATATAGCATATCGTTATATTTTAGATCTATAAATATCACTACGTAGATGGACTACGTTTAATACAGTATTCTTTCTCTTTTGATACGATCAACGTTTTTATATTCGAAGAGAAAACTTTTTATTATATTTTTATAGTAATCATCTCGACTAATTTTCTCAATAGTTTTAATCAACGTTTGTTTTCCACGGTAAACCCAAATTTTGTACGTCACGTTATATCGTCGAGGAGAAACAGGTATCGTACATCCTCATTCATTTATATTAAAGATTTTCAAACGTTGGATTTATTCTATCGACATTTTTACCGAGAGATTACTTTATATATACTCTATTTACACCTTTTTTATATTTGATATGTATATATATATATATATATTTTTTTTTTGTTTCGATGCAACATAGATTAAAATTCACATCGAATTCACGATTTGAGTTCTTACGTGCCGGAATAAAAAGATACGTGTATGTGTGTATCTATATATATATATATATATATATATATATATGTATGTATGTATATATATACACGTAGACAAAACGAACAGATAATTTATCCTAACGTTCATATCGAAATATTTTACATGCAAAATGGCAGGACAACAACTGTAAATAAAAAATATATATGTATTAGCGATCGCATTATGCGACGTAAAATTATGCGCGAGAACGCCCGTACGTGCACGTGTTCTGTTTTCTTTTTTCCCTTTTTTCTACATCTTTGTTTTCTTTTTTTTCTTTTTTTTTCTTTTTTTTTTTTTTTTTTGTATATACACACCACATACATATTCAGTTTACGTACGTGCTAATCGTATGTATCTTTGCATATGCGTGCACGTATAGGCGTGCGAGCGTACGCGTACGCTTTTATTTTCATAAGTGCGATTATTTAAATGTTTAGCTCGTCCGATACTACTTTGCACGTTTAGATTCATTATTCTAATACAGTGATGGGGGACGGACGTTGTACATAGTAGAATATTTGATGCGTTCAAAGAAAGAAAGAAAAAAAAGATAGAAATGTATGTGCCTTATATCTTGCCCGCGTAGATAATAATGCGATCGAGATCTGCAGAACGAAGAGTAGCAGTAATATTTATCCTCTATCCGTAGCTTTAACGCTGTTTTAGTAACGACAAGACGACGAAAAGAGATTACGACATATTTTTATCATCGCAATGCCAACGCTATGTTAGACGACGTACTCGAGTTCGTCGTCCTTAGTGTACTTTAAAACACGTTTTATGTACTTAACAAGATTTTTTTCTGCATTTTTTCTTTTCTTTTTTTCTTTTTTCTCTCTCTAAAAATAAACTCTTTGGAAAAAAGAAAACGCGTGTCGATTAAATTCTTTACTTTTTTTATTTTCTTCTTCTTCGACGTCTCATATCTTTCTCCTTAAAGAAACGAAAGTCGATGATGGATAATAAAAGATATGAAAAGAAAAAGAAAAAGAAAAAGAAAAAGAAAAAGAAAAAAAAACAAAAGGCGCCAGGGTTATTAGGAAGACGTCGTCTTAAGAAATCATAGAGAAGACTTCTGGAATTTCATTTTCTCGCGGAGAGCCAAGGAAATACATATGTGTCTGCGAAGTTCGCCAAGAGATGAGAAAAAGGAAAGGAAAGAGGGAATGGGTTTCTTATATATCATTCTTCCGCGGTGTGATTTCTATCGAGAATTCGAATCTACGTCGTAGAGTCGTCGAACATCCTAATGGAGGTATTTCTTTCAGGATATTTTCACGAGAAGAAGATCATTTCTTACGTCTACGCGAAGACATTTTGAATGATCACGTAACTACGTTAAATTTGAATAATTTTTTTTCCAACTCTTTGTCACGTTACTATAGAAATTGTTAAAAAATATCACGTAGACAAAAGTTCAATTGGAAGAGGGAAGATCCATTGGAATTCTTTCCGAGTTATCGAATTTCCAGTATCATAATTATTCGGGAAGTAGTTTGTTCGGTTGACAGGATCAAAGATGAGACGTGTACAAGGCTTTTCGACTTCTCTCTCGATGGAAGAAAAAGGAAGGGAAAAGTAAGATAGAGACGAGTTGAAAAGTGGGGAGATGAGGAAGAAGACGTCGTCGAGTCGTAGAAAGGAAGAAACAAGAACGATGGAAGTAGATACATAAAGAGAAAGAGAGAGAGAGAGAGAGAGAGAGAGGCCTCGGTCGCCTGGCCGAAACAATCGTTATGATTTTCCGGCGTGGTTCGCTCGATACCGTCCCGCTTTCTGGAGCTGCGTTTGTGGAAAGGGAATCGGGGGTTGGGGGTTGGAACGTGTGCGTCTGCGGGTTGCCGACAGAATGCTCGGAAGCGAGGGCCAAGGATATTTCGAGGCCCAAAACGATGGAAGGGATGTATACGCGTTAACGCATTACCTTCCATAATTTTATAGCAAAATTTCGAGCAACGCTCGTTAAACGCGCCACCATGCATGAGACGCGATATCGGAAGGTAGGAGAAAGAGGGAGGGGACAAAAGGGGATGGTAAGAGAATTCGTTATCTTTGTCTCCTGTTTCTCTTCCACAAAGATTACCAGCGATTGTTTAATCCGAGAAACGGAGGGCTCATTACGTCACACTGCGTGTCATGCGGTTAACTGTCCGAGCTTGAGATTTCTTTCATCACACTTTATCAATTTCATGCACGATAATTGTTTATCAATTTTCCGCCTTCTTAAGAAAACTTTCTCTTCTCTTCCGAAGGAATGAAAGAAAAAGAAAAAAGAAAAAGAACGATTTTTGAGTAAATAAGCTCGTGACTATCGTCCGAATGCAAACGAAACCATTGCAGATATATTTTTTCGAAAAGCAGCTTGCGTGTGCACGATACGCGTAGGTACTACGTGAGACGCATAATCCGTTAATGCTCCACGTCCAACGAATGCAACGGAATATGCAAACGTTGTTTCTTTTGCATTGCACGTTCGCTTAGTTCTACGAAGCGCCACAAAATGTAAAGTGTTACGTAAGTAAAGAGCAAACATCTGTAAAATCATAATCGTATCTTATTCTTTTCAATCTCGACTTTGTTACTTCTAAACATTTACACAACTCCCCGTAACGTATCATTCTACTGACCACGACGAATTGATGTAAAAAAATAAGAAAGAGATTCTACCCCCGAAGCCTCGAGGTTAATTATCCTCGTAGGTGGACTAGACACATTGGCCGAGCGTGTTAAGGCGATTAATGGTAGAAACGTCGGTCACCGCGAGGGGGCACGCGATGCCTCTACGGTGAGACAATAAATCTGAAAAGAGCGTGTCCCGCGAGATCGGAATCTTTTTTCTCTCGAAAATCCGCTCGGTGAAAGAGAGAAAGAACGGGAATGAGAAAGGGTAAGACTAAAAGGTCTACAGAAAGAGAAAGATAGATAGATAGATAGAGAGAGAGAGAGAGAGAGAGAGAGAGAAAACTGGAGAGATGTATGGTAACGGGGCGTAGTCAAACGAGCGTCGGTCCCGGGAGCACACGTTCTCCCTCTAGCAAGAGAGTAAAAGAAGAAAGAGAGAGAGAGAGAGAGAGAGAGAGGGAGAGAGATGCATTGAGCAACGTGGCGGGAGGCGTAAGACGATGTCACCTCTCGCGTCCTACGAACGTCTTCCTTCGCGTAGAAGAAGACACGAAACGCGCGTTAAATCAATGATGCCGAGCTTGCGCCGCGTTACTCCCGCGTAACGTGCCACGAAGCCGGAAGCTCGATTCCCCCAGCCCCTTTCTCTCTCTCTCTCTCTCTCTCTCTCCACCCTCTTCCAGCCTGCCGGCGGCGGCGCCTTTACGCGCTCCGCCGAAAGTCCCGGCGCCGCGCCGCGCCGTTTGTGTCCATCCTCCCTTCCTCGCGTTCCCGTTCCTCTCGTTCCGCCGGCGTCGATGCTCCTCTCCGCTTTCGACGATGGTGCGTCGTCGCTTTGAGGTCGCGCGCTCCGCCGACCTCGACGCCGCGTCGGCGCGAAAACCCCGGCCGTCTCGCATCCCCACTACTTTTCTATTCGTTCCTGTGCTCGGTTCGAGGCTACTACTACTACTACTACTACTACTACTACTACTACTACTACTACTATTACTACTACTACTACTACTACTACTACTACTACTACTACTACTACTACTACTACTACTACTGCTACTACTACTATTATTACTACTATTACTACTATTGCTACTATTATTATTATTACTACTACTCTTACTAGTACCTTTACTAAACTACTACTACTACTACTACTATTATTATCATTACTATCACTATTATCATTTCTTATTTTTCATCGGATCAACCTCGCTTCGTCTGCCCGACGAAGCTCTCGCTCTTCTTGCATTTTCTTTACACGTAAGATTCAATGAGTCGTAGAAATGTTTTCAAGATGGCGGACGGCTCATCGGAGCTCAAATGTGCCGAATATAAATCTCTGTCAGAGCCGCTCTTCTTTCGTCGTTGTCCCGTCGAGAGAACCGATGAAAAGCCTCGTCGTCTCCTCCCGTCTACGATGACTTTTCTCACCCCTTTCGCAACGTATACGCGCACGCTCCGTGCAAAAGGCAGACAGAGAGAGAGAGAGAGAGAGAGAGAGAGAGAGAGAAAGATAGAGGGAAAAGGAGAGAGAACGGTGCTCGTACGTTCGCGAGGAAGAGGAGGAGAATGAGGATGAGGAGGAGGAAGAGGAGGAGAAGGAAGAGGAACGAACCAAGTCGCTTCCTCTTTCGCAACGCACACGAGCTCGTGGCGCTTTCCGTTCCGTGCCGTTCCATTTCCTTCCGTTCCGTTCCATTCCGTTCCGTTCCGTTCCCCTCGGCCATCCTACGTCTTCCAGTCTTTTACTCTCCTCTGGAGAGCGGAATATAGATTCCGTACGCGTAACGCGTTACACGCGTCGGACCGCGGCTTCGAGAGAGACGCCGAACCTCGCGACGCAAGAGCACGTATCTCGAATCTACCCTTTCGACGCTTCTTCACCCTCTTCCGTTGAACCGATCAAAGAGAACGACTC